CAATGAATTCAACAAATCCAGCAACAGTTCTGGGCTTTGGTACGTGGAAGCAGATTGTAGATAAATTCTTATACTGTGATAGATATTCAAAGCAAACAGGAGGTTCGAAGAAAATTAAAGAAGCAAACCTTCCACCGCACACTCATACAGGAACGACAAACACAACAGGTAGTCATTCACATTCAATAACAAAAAGAGGTTATACAAATCTTGCAGCAGGTTCGGATAGACAGGGAATGAATAGATATGATATTTCAAGTGACCCAGTAGATTCAAGCGCAGGTATTTTCTGTGGAACCACAGGAAATCATTCACACACTTTCACAACAAATCCAACAGGCTCGGGTGCAGATTATATGCCACCATTTGTGACTATATTCGCATGGTACCGCGTTCAATGAACGCGCTTGAGCCTTGAATAAAATCTTTAACTTTACATAAATGAGCTTGAAAGAAGTATTCGAACAACATCCATGGAGGTCATTTAAGAAGTTCAATGAAGCTGCAAAGAGTTGGGGATTTACTAACAGAGCTGAAGTGAAAAGTTCTTTGACAAAAATGTTGTACATCAAACAAAAATAAACCCTTACGACTACTTTTTACCAATTTACTCCAACACTCCTGACGCATACCAATTTGACACTCTCATTCAAAGCAGAAAAGGAGGACATAACCCATTCCTCATCTTCATTAATGTTAACACTCGTAAAGCATATGCATATCCAATGAAAAATAAAGGAACTCGTGAAGTGTTAAGAGTTTTACAAAAGTTTGTAGCAGAACATAACCCAAGTACTTTAACATCAGACCAAGACAGTGCATACCTCAGCAATGAAATCACAGATTTTCTCATTAAGCATAACATAACTCACTACACTACTGAAGACCATAACCATAACATACTCGGCATCATAAACCGCTTCATAAGAACGCTCAGAGATTTAAACCAAGAGCGAGACTTTACCGAAGAAACAATGAAACACTTTCTCGAAGTATATAATTCCTCAACACATTCTACAACAGGACATACACAAATTCAACGACACAACAACAAGAAGAAAAGTATATACAAAGAAACGAAGCCAACACAAAATATCAGAAATTAACACAATTTACCCTCATTCCTGGTACAAAGTTCGTGTAGTTCTTGACGACAAACCGTTGACAAAGAAACGTTTAAGGTTAAGTAGAAACTATTATATCGTAGACTCTACGCAAGGTAATGGATATCTTATAAAAGCTGCGACGACTCTATTGCGTTTTACCCTCGTCACAAATTAGTTGAAAGTAGTAATGGCAAACTTGCTGAAACCATTGACGAAGCAAGCGAGGAGTGGTTATTGAAATACTTGGCTACAACATAAACGATGACATAAAGTAAGATATGAAGGAGGCGTTGAAGATGTTATACCATCTAAGAACTTGAGAGAGTCAAAGTCAACACATCTGGGACCATTAGAGCGGGAGTACTGGAAAGACAAAAATAAGCCAGAAAGAAAGAGAAATTCTTCTAAACTTTTTCATTAGATGTAAATCAGACAAAATAATTTTTAGGTGAAGAGGTGAGATTTCACCTGTTTTTTCACCTCTTTTTTCACAAGCGTTTTACATGAATTGTACGATGTATATTTGAAATCCTAAACAATTTCGTAGCTTCTATTTCTTCTTTTAGTACATCGAATGTTTTAATCGTGCCGAAAGTCTCTTTATATTTCTTCTTGACGTCAGACAGAAGGAAATCTTCTGGTTGGATAGTTTTTTATTAAGAAATGTCAACATATCCATTTTATCTTCTGCTGGCTTTTCTGCTTCTTTCTTTAAGTCTGCATAGTCGTTTCGCATTCTTTCTATCTCTTTGACTGAGTAGTTATATTTTCTTATTGCTGCTTACATTTTGAACATTGCGGCATCGTTTTGCGTTGCGTTATCATTGAATAAAAACCAGCTAGAACAACTAAGGCGTCAATGGTTTTCTTTAACTCAAAAGCTGCTGGTTTTATCTGTTCATTCCATACTTTACCTCTTCTATCTTTATCTCTTATCTGCCATACACATTTTGCAACTAATGAAACAAAGTTATCGTATGTCTTAAACTCCCCAGATTTATATATGTCAGAAATATTTTTATAAACCATGTCGCAATCTTTGTCCATAACTTTATGGTTGCAATGAAAACCAAGGAATTCATAATTTACTTTACGTATGAACTTCTTTATTTCTACTGAGTCAGTTGCTTTGACTTCAATTTCGTCGAATTCAGGAATAGTTAGTTTTGCTGCTGAATTTCAGGTAGTTTAGGCAAATGGTCGATGAGGTCCCCATTTCATAAGATACTGTTCATTGTTTCATCTTTCGCACTACAGTCTAAATTACTTGTTAAAAGTTCTTGCTTTATCTCTGGATTTCTGTTTCAAAAGTATATGAAGAAGGAATAAAGCTTTCATCTCTACCAACATTGACGTAGGATTCATGACTAACGAGTTTGGTGCTGTTGTTTGAATTGTTGTTGTGCCGATTGTTGAAATCATATCTTTTATACAAAATAAAAAAATAAATAAAAATAAAACTAACTTTATTTTTTCTATCTTAAGGAAATTCATGAAAATTCATAAGGGTGAAAAAACAGGTGAAATCTCACCTCTTCACCTAAAAATTATTTTGTCTGATTTACATCTAATGAAAAAGTTTAGAAGAATTTTCTTATTCTTTCTGGCTTATTTTTGTCTTTCCAGTACTCCCGCTCTAATGGTCCCAGATGTGTTGACTTTGACTCTCTCAAGTTCTTAGATGGTATAACATCTTCAACGCCTCCTTCATATCTTACTTTATAAGTGTCATCGTTTATGTTGTAGCCAAGTATTTCAATAACCACTCCTCGCTTTGCTTCGTCAATGGTTTCAGCAAGTTTGCCATTACTACTTTCAACTAATTTGTGACGAGGGTAAAACGCAATAGAGTCGTCGGCAGCTTTTATAAGATATCCATTACCTTGCGTAGAGTCTACGATATAATAGTTTCTACTTAACCTTAAACGTTTCTTTGTCAACGGTTTGTCGTCAAGAACTACACGAACTTTTGTACCAGGAATGAGGGTAAATTGTGTTGAATTTCTGATATTTTGTGTTTGGCTTCGTTTCTTTTGTATATACTTTTCTTCTTGTTGTTGTGTCGTTGAATTTGGTGTATGTCCTGTTGTAGAATGTGTTGAGGAATTATATACTTCGAGAAAGTGTTTCATTGTTTCTTCGGTAAAGTCTCGCTCTTGGTTTAAATCTCTGAGCGTTCTTATGAAGCGGTTTATGATGCCGAGTATGTTATGGTTATGGTCTTCAGTAGTGTAGTGAGTTATGTTATGCTTAATGAGAAAATCTGTGATTTCATTGCTGAGGTATGCACTGTCTTGGTCTGATGTTAAAGTACTTGGGTTATGTTCTGCTACAAACTTTTGTAAAACTCTTAACACTTCACGAGTTCCTTTATTTTTCATTGGATATGCATATGCTTTACGAGTGTTAACATTAATGAAGATGAGGAATGGGTTATGTCCTCCTTTTCTGCTTTGAATGAGAGTGTCAAATTGGTATGCGTCAGGAGTGTTGGAGTAAATTGGTAAAAAGTAGTCGTAAGGGTTTATTTTTGTTTGATGTACAACATTTTTGTCAAAGAACCTTTTCACTTCAGCTCTGTTAGTAAATCCCCAACTCTTTGCAGCTTCATTGAACTTCTTAAATGACCTCCATGGATGTTGTTCGAATACTTCTTTCAAGCTCATTTATGTAAAGTTAAAGATTTTATTCAAGGCTCAAGCGCGTTCATTGAACGCGGTACCATGCGAATATAGTCACAAATGGTGGCATATAATCTGCACCCGAGCCTGTTGGATTTGTTGTGAAAGTGTGTGAATGATTTCCTGTGGTTCCACAGAAAATACCTGCGCTTGAATCTACTGGGTCACTTGAAATATCATATCTATTCATTCCCTGTCTATCCGAACCTGCTGCAAGATTTGTATAACCTCTTTGTTATTGAATGTGAATGACTACCTGTTGTGTTTGTCGTTCCTGTATGAGTGTGCGGTGGAAGGTTTGCTTCTTTAATTTTTTCGAACCTCCTGTTTGCTTTGAATATCTATCACAGTATAAGAATTTATCTACAATCTGCTTCCACGTACCAAAGCCCAGAACTGTTGCTGGATTTGTTGAATTCATTGACGTATAAATAGAGCCTATAGGATATAATGTTTGAAGTATTTCAGTCTTTAATGTTTGAAGCTCTGTTTTGTCTGCTTTCTTATCTAACATTGCTGGTAGTTCATATGCTTCAAAATTTCTGGCATGATCTTCAATATTCCTGCAACTGTTATCTAAATTGTTTAGTGTATCTTTTACGCTTGTACTCGGATTCTCTAAAGGTGCACTTGAACCCAAATCATAGTTCAATATTATGTCGTCTGCTCTAACAGTAGTGAAGGATTTATGTGTATGGTTCTTGTCAGCTTTACTGTCTAACATTGCTGGTAGTTCATGTGTTTCAAAGTTTCTGACATGACCTTCAATGTTCATACATTTACTATTTAAGGAGTTTAGTGTATCTTTTACGCTTGTACTTGGATTCTCTAAAGGTGCACTTGAACCAAATCATAGTTCAATATTATGTCGTCTGCTCTAACAGTAGTGAAGGATTTATGTGTATGGTTCTTGTCAGCTTTACTATTTAATGTAGCTTGAAGTTCATTTATATCGGAGATGTGTTTATGAGATTTCAAAACTTTGTTCGTTGCGTCGAGTTCAACTTTGTCAGCTTTACTTTTAATAGCATCTTCAAACGTTATTTTTGCCTTAACTCTCAAAGTAAATCTTGGTTCAACTAATACACCGTTAACATTGAAAGTAGAGGCATAAATTTCACCGGTATAACCAAATGCTTCTGGTGCTTTAGCTACATCATACTGTACAGTACAGCTTATGTCATAACCTTTAGCACGAATGTATTTATATCTTCTTTCATTAACATTTTTTGTCTTCGCTTCATCACTTCGTGTTAAATATCCATGGTAGTCCGTTATAATCTGTTCGTCTGAAGTTATATAATGAACGTGGTTCTTGACTTTATCACTCAGAGCTAAAAGCTCATTTTTGTCTGCTTTTTCGGCTAATTTCTCATTAACATCATTCACTTCTAATTCAACTCTTCCGCCAGAACTCTTATTATCATTAATCTTTTTCATTAATTCAGTAATTACGTCATAAAGACTATATTCTGTTTTCGGTTTTGTAAATAATGAGTCAAAATTTCTTTTCATCATTACATCGCTGACATTAATGATATCACCAATTCCTTTTTCATTTATTCTCTTCATTAATTCTGCAATAATGACGAATATATAATCTGTTAATTTATTCTCTTCATCGAGGGTTATAGAATGTTTTGAAATTGAATCATTAACTCCTCTAAATAAATCAATAACTTCAGGATACACGTTTTTAATGTCTCGAATAACCCGACCAGTATCCTGTTGTTCATGTTCTTCGTTCCCGTCGTTACGTGGTTTTATATCTCTAACCATCATCAACGCAGCCATAACCGGAGGGTTTGTTGCTATCTGTTCGAAAATCCGTCCGTTATGTACGGTATATCTAAATAATTTCTTTGTGTTTGTTAAAACATTTGAAACAAGTCTTTTAAAACCATCTACAAAATTTCCTGTTTCACCTAATGTTCTTGCAGCATTTACAAGCTCACCCATTCCCGCTTTTGACCCCAAAAACGTCCATATTGCATTTATTTCACTTGTATAGTTGTCCATTCAGCGAAACTAACACCCGCATTCGCTAAGCTGAAAATGAAATTCAGTGGATCGAACTTAATTCCACCTTCTTTTTCAATTTCAACGAACTCACTAACATGAGATTTTAAGTATTCTTTCGTTAAAATTGTTTTCCCCGATGTTATGTCATTAACGAAACTATCACCGTCAAAAGTTAACGAATTCAATTTCGTCGTTGATGCTTTTATTTCATACACCGCTTTATCGATAGTTTTTGGCTCACCTTCTTTAGAAGCATATGAAACATTAATGATGAATTATATGTATTCGTGAATGAATTAAAATCAATGATTTTCATTAATGACGCCTTTAATGATTCATTTACTGTCGAATCCCTTAAAGTAATTAATGAACTGTCATTTATGAAAGGTACACTGCAAACCGTCGAGTTTGGATCAAATGCTGTAGTTGGTGCAGGAATATTAATGATATAAGTCATTAAATCATTAAGTGACGCAAATAATGTTGTCGTTTTTGATTTAATTTCTTTAGCATCTGTTATATATGGTAATTTTATTTCTGTAGTTTCTGAATTAAAGATATTCGCTAAAATGTTTTGTAAACTGTTTGGAACAGCTGTGTAAACCGTTGAATCCGGAACTCTTACGATTTTACCGTCCTTAATAAAAGGCATTGCACATGGTGTAGTGCTTGGGTCAAATCTTTTTGGGTTATGATTCAACATATATTCTAATGCTTCATAAACAGACCTATATACGGTTGTATTATCTTTTTCAATAATTTCACCGTCCTTTATAAACGGCATAGTACATGGAGTTAAAATAGGGTCAAACTTTTCATAGTCCTTCCATGTTATGTATTTCTCAGTATTTCCATCAGTGATAACAATATATTTGTCAGTAAGTGTGAGAGAGTATTGACCAAAATATAAACGTTTAGCTCTGTCAGCTTCATACGCATATGCAGCAATACTCATATTTTAATGAGAATAAAATGTTGTTCTATTTGCAAAGTACAGACCCAAACGAATACGGGACAGTAAAGCTACAAACAAACTTAGGTCTACAGAATGAGGCGCTTGCATTCAGAATGGTTGACTTCAATACTATCGCTTCATTCGTTATAACAGACGAAACAGATTTCATGGAGATTGAAATAGATGGAAAGAAGCACGAAATAAGATTTCACAATAATGTAGAATATAAGATGGAAACATTAGCTGGAGTGTTAAATGCTCTCATAAATACTACAATAAACAAGGATAACGAAGAAAACTTAATGAATGTTAAACTTATTGCAGGAGTTTTGAAGTTCAGTTATGCGAAGGAGTTTAAGATACCAAGAATGAGTCATAGAGTACAACTTCTTTTGGGTGCATACCATATGACATTTCCTTTGAAAAGTGTTGACAAAACGATTGAGATGAAATCTGTTCCATACGTATGTTATGGCAACTGTTTGTACATTGAGTTTAAAATAGCTAATGTCACAGGCATTTCAGGAGTTAATAGTAAAGGTTCAGTAGAATATAAGTCTTTCTGTTATGCAGTCAATTCAATGTTCATTCCAAACGTTCCTGTCATAGCAACTCATTTAGGTAAATGGGTTCGCATTAGTCCTCATAATTTGAAAGACATGCAATTCAGACTTGTTGACTTTCAAGGAGAGCCTGTAGAACTGAAGGCACCAGTGCGAATGACTGTTGAAGTTGACTTTTTAGAAAATATTAAATGCAACAGCTTACAAGAGAACTCAGAGCTAAAAATATAAAGTATGAATGTTATGTATTAGGTCATGAACTTTGGTTGTTGCTGTTTGATGAAACAAATGAGTTAGTTATGTCAGTCAAGAGAACAGAAAAATATTGTGTTAGTGAAAACTGCACCAAGTCAATAAGATTAGGTTTGCATTATGAAGATGAGTTCGATACTGTTGAAGAAGTTTTGGATAGATATTACAAATTGCTAACTTGAAATTTTTTTTGACTGACGGCGCAAAGCGCCAAGATGGGCTCAAAGAGCCCTCCTGACTGCTTTAATTTACTAAAACATATTTCAAAAAAGTTTATATTCTGTTGAAAGTTTTGTATACTCGTTCGAATATTTATACTTAAACTCAACTCCTGTAGTTCCTGGTGTTTCAATGATGCGGATGTTACCTATTTTCATGAATAGTGGAGTTTGACCACAGCATTCGATTTCAGGGTCGAGATAGTCAATGACACATTGTTTCCCTGTTATTCGTGAGATAACATTTTCAAGGTCCTCCTTTGTTAGAATTATTTGGTTCTTACTTATAAGATTTGTCAAAAGCTTCTTATCGTCTTTGAGTAAAATTGTTTGGTATAACTGAAGAAGGTAATGGTCTACGTTATCTGAAGGATTTGTTTGAACATTTGTGTAAGGGTTGTCGTTGGCTTCTCTTGAAAGAATTTGGTCCAGTGGTGGATACTCTAACTTAACATCTGATGTAGCGTTAGCGTTTGAAGCTGAGTTTAAATTCACGGATTTCAGCTCTGGTTCTGGTTCTTTCAAACACTCTGAACTATAGTTTTTTATGACAATATTGTTTGTCGTTCGTGAGTCAACATTTGATGTTGGTTCAATTGGAACATTAACGGCACCAGCTAAGATGGATTTGCTTCTCATTTCATATAGAATAAAAACCTTTTATATGTATGAAATGAACAATATACTCGACAAGGGTTTGAATGTAAAGCTAACGAATGAAAATATTGTTGAATTCACTGAGACAGGAGCTGTGTATAAAGATGTAGAACTACTGAACAAAAGAGCTAAGGGAAGAAGCAGGAACATGAACAAAGGGTGGAAGCCTATAAAAATTTATGTCAATGATGGCTCGGGAGGTTCAAACATAAAGTATGCAGAAAGTTATAGAGTTTATGCTCTCAAAGGTGAAAAGCCTTCATTTAAGAACAGCTATTCTAACGCATATCCTCAAAAGCTAACGGATGGGGAAGTGGATGATATGAATGACAGCAAAAATATTAACAGAAATGGCGACAGAGATGCATGGAATTTGTTTACCATCAGTCAATTGAAGGTTAAACGTTAAAACAATGTTGGTCGTTCCCATGGAATATTTTTGACTTTAATGGTATTAGTCATGATATGAATCTCAAGGTATGAACGAGGAGAGATGAGAGACTTATATGCTTCCCAAATTTCTTCAAAAGGTAATGTTATACCTGATTGTTTCCAAATGAGTTCAATATCATAGCGTGAGAAACCTTGAAAGATAACGAAGTCAGTTATGAGACGTTTTATGTTTAAAGCTAAAAACCTCCATGTTTGCATAAGTATTGCTACAGTTAAATGGTAATGTCTGACTTTAGTAATGATGTTAGCTAATGGTGAGTCTGGTTTTGACACTAAACCTTTTCCGGCGAAGTCGTCACAAACTAATAAAGTGTTTGATGGATATTTTTTGAAGGGGTATTTTGAAAGTTTTGACAGAATGTAGTTTGTAAGTCGTTTCATATCGTAAACTCCTGAGTATTGACGTAAGTGGTGTTTGTCAATAATTCTTTCCATCTCCTCAGAAGTCTTTTGCATTCCTGACTGTATAAATTCAACGATGGCATAATATTTCCTCTTACGTCGAATGTAACGTTGAAGAAATTCAATGAGTTCACTGTCTGGAACTTTAACGACAGAGGCTTGAACTTTTGACATAAATGTTTTCGCTGTTGAGTCCATAGAGTCTGAAGTTGCTGATATAATGATTTGGTCATAGTAAGAGTCATTTCCTAAACGTTCTGTTATGAGTATATGACGAATGAGGTTAAATGTCTTACCTGAACCCATCTTTCCACAATAGAAATAAACACCATTTGAACAGAACTCATAGTCCTTACTGAAAGGAAGAATAAGAGAAGAGTTAAGTTTGTCTGTAGTTTCATTCATGTCTTCATCTACGTCATGTATTAAATGCTTCATTTTATCTCCATTAAAAATGCAAGTCAGAAATATTCAGAACATAGCACCGAGTCTAACTGACAAGAGTATAAAGATATACTATGAACATGTTATGATGAAACCAACCAAAATTCAAGAAAGTCAGTATACTTATGAATATCCAAGACACTGGGTAGAGTATGTAGGAGGTGAGAAAGCTATTGAAATCAGACAGGTTCGAAGTATTCCAGCAGGAAGAACAATATTATTGAAGAACTTTAATGTTTTGAGATATAATGATGAAACAAAGAAGCAAGATAGTTTTCCTGTTGCTGTGTATGTGAACTTAGATACAGGAGATGACATGAAAGTTTTTAATACAAAGCTTCAAACGGTGGTGAGAGAACAACTGACTGCGGAAGGACATCCATTACCTTCAGAAGTTACCATAGCATATAATTTTGAAACAAACTCAATAGATTTTAAAGTCATCTCTGCAAAGAAGTCAGGTTTTACATTTAATGAAGCAGATGTATATTCGAATGAAAACTTCAAAGCTATTGCATGGTTAGATAATGACGATTGCTTTAAGAAAATATTTAAATTCAGTGACTCAACGATGTCAATAGATGACCTTCGTGGAATGTTACCATCGACGTTTACAGTAGAAGGTTCAGCAGGATTGCTTACAAGATTGTCAATTGGTGGTATTTGGTCTCGTGAGAACATTGTTATAAAATCCAGTATAAGTGAATTTGCTGAAGAATCTATATTATGTCTTTCAAACTACATGTATTCGCCGCCGAAGCATTATAGTATAACAAACTTTGTCAGTAAGTTTAACATAAGACTTGTCGAACCTTCTTCAATGAAAGATGTTGTGCTACCCAAAGACGGAAAGGATGGACTCATTATTGAGATGATTTTAATAGCATATTAAATGAGCTTGTTCTTGAAGGTCATTCATGAAAATAACTGTTGTAGAAGATGTTAGCAATTGTTCAGACATTTTGAAGCGTATAGATGATATAAGAAATAAGTTAGATAGACCGCAAAGCGGTGAGGGCGAAGCCCGTGAGAACGCTTATGTTTCATTGACTTTCTCCAGTAACGAGAACTTTTATGAGATAATATTGAAGAGAGATGATTTTAATATGGTGTAAATGGTAGCTTGGGCAGCTTTAGGCGCAATGGGAACAAAAGCATTAGCATTTGGAGCAAAAGCACTTGGAGCTTATGACGCAGTAAATAAAATGAGTGGAGGAAGGGTTTCGAAGACATTAGATGCAAATAAAGGGAAGATTGGAGGCTGGGTTGCAAAGAAGTTAAGATTAAATAAAATAGGGCTCATAAATAAAGCATCCAATTTGGTTGCGACTGAGTCAGAAAATGCTTTAGGAAAGGACGATGAGTTTGCAAAACACGCAAAAGACTTTAATGACCAGATGAAAGGTGAAACAATGCATTTAAATAGAGTCGATGGAACTAAAGAAAATGTTTCTTCTCCACCAGTAGTTCTTCCGTATGGTCCCTATGGAATGTATGGAAACCCTTACGAAAGACCATTTGACCCATTGACTGGTGGAAGTAACTGGTATCATTACGGACGAAGAAGAAAGACAGTCAAGTTGGAGACAGACGTGAAGAAAGCAACTAAAAAGAAACCAAGGAAGAGAGTTATAAAGCAATGAATTCAACAGGGTAGAAAAGAGGTTAGAAATCGGGTTAGATCTAACCTTCTACCCTAAATTTATTTTTGTGCTATGTTTTCATACGTGTGAGGGTGGTGATATCATTAGCTTTTAAGTTTATTTTTATATAAATGACAGAACAAAAGCAACTCATACAAATCGAAAAATATAACAAACATACATTTAAACATTTATTCTTCCTTCCTGAGTATAACATGTTCTTTACACTTCATCCTAGACCAGTTGACTATACATTGACTGTGTATAAAGATTGTCATGGTAGTTTTATAAAAACTTATGATGATGAAGGTAAGTTAACAAGACTATGCATTTCAAAACTTGAGAAACTTTATGACTTCAAGTATGACTACAATAGGGTTAACATTGACGATGAAGATATAGAAGAAAATTTATGAGAACGTTTATTTTTTCATTAGTGAGTTCGTTAGTGAGGTGAAATGGTTGGTGGCTTTGTAAATATTTAAGGTTGAGTTAGTGTTGTCGTTTGTGTTGTAAAATATACGTTAACGGTTTTGTAAAGTGTCGAATTCACATATAATAGGTAAGGTGGAACGCAGTGCCACAGTACCCAACTAAGCCATACTAACTATTTCAAACGTTTCTATTGTTTTGTTTGACCACAGGGAAAGGCCCAGTGGTCATGTATCACAGCAAGAGCTTTGATTTGGTCGTAGGGATTGACCCTACGACCTTTCTTGCCTTTAGGCAATGGGATATTCTGTAAGCTAAATTGATTTTGTAAAAAAGATTTTGAAACATCTAAATATTTGAAATCATTTGATTGAAGGGTTGGGGCGATGGAAACATGGGTGCAAGCTTCTTCCCATGTCATTTTACCTTCTTCAATCTGATTGGAAATACCAATTAGGTAAATTCGATCGGCATACCCTTTGTAAGGATTCATTCTAATGAAGTACGTTAACAATCAAAATATTCTATAAGTGTCTAGTATGGAATTCAAAAGAATAAAGAAAATGGTAACGTAAATAAACGTATTATGAAATAATTTATAATTAAAATGAAAAAAAAGAAAAAATAATAAGTAAAGTGACTGGAAATGAAAATTAAAATCAGTGTACAGTTTTATTTTTTTCTCGCTGTGAAACGTATTCGGTCATTTTTTTAAAAATTAATTTTTTGTTAGAGATAAGAGCTAAAACTCGGTAAACAACTTCTTTATGTCTAGAAAATTCTATCTTGCCTTTTATTTTTTTCTCGCTGTGAAACGTATTCGGTCATTTTTTTAAAAATTAATTTTTTGTTAGAGATAAGAGCTAAAACTCGGTAAACAACTTCTTTATGTCTAGAAAATTCTATCTTGCCTTTTATTTTTTTCTCGCTGTGAAACGTATTCGGTCATTTTTTTAAAAATTAATTTTTTGTTAGAGATAAGAGCTAAAACTCGGTAAACAACTTCTTTATGTCTAGAAAATTCTATCTTGCCTTTTATTTTTTTCTCGCTGTGAAACGTATTCGGTCATTTTTTTAAAAATTAATTTTTTGTTAGAGATAAGAGCTAAAACTCGGTAAACAACTTCTTTATGTCTAGAAAATTCTATCTTGCCTTTTATTTTTTCTCGCTGTGAAACGTATTCGGTCATTTTTTTAAAAATTAATTTTTGTTAGAGATAAGAGCTAAAACTCGGTAAACAACTTCTTTATGTCTAGAAAATTCTATCTTGCCTTTTATTTTTTTCTCGCTGTGAAACGTATTCGGTCATTTTTTTAAAAATTAATTTTTTGTTAGAGATAAGAGCTAAAACTCGGTAAACAACTTCTTTATGTCTAGAAAATTCTATCTTGCCTTTTATTTTTTTCTCGCTGTGAAACGTATTCGGTCATTTTTTTAAAAATTAATTTTTTGTTAGAGATAAGAGCTAAAACTCGGTAAACAACTTCTTTATGTCTAGAAAATTCTATCTTGCCTTTTATTTTTTTCTCGCTGTGAAACGTATTCGGTCATTTTTTTAAAAATTAATTTTTTGTTAGAGATAAGAGCTAAAACTCGGTAAACAACTTCTTTATGTCTAGAAAATTCTATCTTGCCTTTTATTTTTTTCTCGCTGTGAAACGTATTCGGTCATTTTTTTAAAAATTAATTTTTTGTTAGAGATAAGAGCTAAAACTCGGTAAACAACTTCTTTATGTCTAGAAAATAATTATTTGAATTTATTCAATTTTGTGAATTTTCCTTCAAAAATCAAGTTTAAATATCTTATTTGCCATATAATTCTAAATACAATGAAACATATTCGAAATTGAAAAGACTGACTTTTTCTGTTCTTTCAATCATTCAATTTGAATTTTGCAATATTGGATTTCTCATTAAACAGCTATTAAATACAACAAGCAATTTAACTTACTTTCAAATTTATTTGTGTTATATTCAATCTTCTCAAAACTTATAATTTTCGGCTATAGCATGATTATATGCTATATAATATAATAAACCTATAATAGTATCATTCTTTCAATTATTTGAAGAGAAAACCAAAAAAATCTATTTTCGGTCTATAACAATAACAAAATTTCATCGGTTATAAAAATAGAAAAACTAAATAAAATCTGCATTTATGCCAATTTGCGTAATTTCGAAAAAATCTTACTGAAGGAATTCGTAAAAACAATTATTAAGCCGGGAGTGAACTCCTTATTTATGATGATTTTAGTGGATTAGAACCAATGGAACTGAAAGTTTCTAAAAAGACGATATTGAATAAAACAAAATGTTCGCTAAATAGATTGCAAAAGAGTTTGTTTTTAGTAATATTAATTCATGGAATAGTCATACAGTTAGATTTTTTATTATTTACATTCATTTAACAAAATTGATTAGCAGCAACCACGTCTTGAGCGTTTTGAGAAGTCAATATAGTCGGTATCTTCACTCTTAATAGTAACACTTCCAAATGTTGCTATTTTTTCGAATAAATCATTAATTCCTTCACCGGTAGCAGCAGAAGTTTCCTGATAGAATAAGGCACCTATTTTATTTGCGTATTCTTGTGCTTCTTCAGGTTTTACTTGTCTTTTACCAGCAATATCAGATTTGTTACCGACAAGTACTAGTGCACAATCTTTTGGAGCTTTTTGTTGAAGCAATTGATAGAAATTATCGAGTCCTTCAAGAGAATTTTTAGATGTAATATCAAAAACTAAAATCGCAACTTGAGAGTTTGAAAAATACATTGGAGTTAAGCTTCTGTATCTCTCCTGACCTGCAGTATCCCAAATATTAAATGTGATAGGTCCTTTACTTGTTTTCATTTCATGTGTTAAGTTTGCAGCGCCAACTGTTGCATAAGTTGCCTCATTATACTCATTTCTAGCAAATCTAACTGCGATGCATGTTTTTCCAACACCTGCTTCACCTACTATGATTGTTTTTATCTTTTTCATCTTCAAAATTTTGTCAAAGATTGGACGGTTTTTTACATCTCCCCCCAAAATAGAAATTATTTTTCCTAATGAAAAAGAATTTGTATCTGCATTATTGTTGTAAACATAAATTCATCAAAAGTGACACCTCAGAAAAGCTAAAATATTGAATTTTTGGAACTTTTGATAGAGCACGTTTTTAAATATTAATTAAAGTAAATGTATATTTTGTAAAGATTCTTTTTAATAAAAAAATAAAATTTTGAAGAAGAACACAAAATCTTCTGAAAAATAATATCACATAAACTCATATTATTTTCTAATATATAACTATTTTATATAAAAATCAAATTCAATGATCTTAAAAGCGAAGGATAAACCTCAAAATTTACGAATATAATGAGTGGGAATATAATGCTTCTCTATCATAAAACCATATGAAATATCAATTTTTGCTTTACGCCTAATTTTTGACGACAATTAGCAAAAAATGTTAAATGTTAACACTCAGTCCATTTGAATATGAAAAATAAAATTGACTTTGATTAAATGTTTTTATTTATCATGCAATTCTTCTTGCGACCAAAGATTTGAATAAAAGTTCAAAAATAAGATAGCTTAAAAAATAATATACGGTAGTGTTTACTAATAGATGAATAGTATATAAATTCTATTAAAATGGATTTGATCCAAAAAAATATAAAACCAAAAATAATTGTTATAATTTAAATGAAGAAGTAATTTAAAACGATTTTATTTATGATCAAATTTATATATATTTTTTTGGATCAAATCCATTTAATAGAATTTATATACTATTCATCTATTAGTAAACACTACCGTATATTATTTTTTAAGCTATCTTATTTTTTGAACTTTTATTCAAATCTTTGGTCGCAAGAAGAATTGCATGATAAATAAAAACATTTAATCAAAGTCAATTTTATTTTTCATATTCAAATGGACTGAGTGTTAACATTTAACATTTTTTGCTAATTGTCGTCAAAAATTAGGCGTAAAGCAAAAATTGATATTTCATATGGTTTTATGATAGAGAAGCATTATTCCCACTCATTATATTCGTAAATTTTGAGGTTTATCCTTCGCTTTTAAGATCATTGAATTTGATTTTTATATAAAATAGTTATATATTAGAAAATAATATGAGTTTATGTGATATTATTTTTCAGAAGATTTCATTCTATATGCCTATGAAAAGTACTCTCAAAACTAACTTTTTCCTAATTATAATTAAATCTAGAATATTGTATTATGCTTAGTATTATTTCATTTTTCTCATTCAATTTAGAATTTACAAATGTCAAAAAATTGAGAGCTGTCACTTTTGATGAATTTCTGTTTATTACATTATTTATGTGTTTTCCACTTTATAAAGCTCCCTGTGCAGAAAAACAAAGATCGCAAAATAATTTTTGAAGATATAGTGAATTCGATATGGTCATAACCTGTATAAATTTATATGTAATGATTTAGCTGTATTAAACATGAAAAATGGTGATTTTTTGAGAATTTGATATCAAATTTCTGCTCGAAACTGAATAAATATGAGTTTATTTGATTCTAATTCAACTATTTGGTATGAGTATTTTAAAATTAAAAAAAAAAAAAAAAAAAAAAAAATAATGGAAATGGGGCTTCCAGGCACTTCGTGCCTTCTAGCCCTGAGGATGAATGGTATAATGAAGTTTTTTTTTCTTGGGGTGGGCTTCCAGGGGCTGCGCCCCTTCTAGCCCACATAAATGAAGTTTTTATTCGGAGGTCTTCCAGGAGCTTTTCACAAATTATATATGTTTTCATGTTTTGTCAAGACTTCTTCGTAAATGTTTTGTCATGATTTCATTGTATATGTTTTGTCAAGACTTCTTCGTAATGAGCGTAAATGACCCAAAAATAATGTTTATGTTAGAATGTTAGATCTAACACGTTTTCTAACATGTTTTCTAACATCGTAGAAAACTCATGATTTCATCGTAAATGTTTTGTCGAAACTTCTTCATCGTAAATGTTTTTAACTTCACTTAAAATGCCACGTAAGCTACGTAAGAATATACGTAAGAGGAAGAGAGCATTGAAACATCCAATAGTAAAACTGACACCAAACAACAGTTGCAACAACAAATGCTGAATGACCCCACTATGTTGCAACAAATGTCAAGCAATCCTATGCTTTTAAACCGAGTTCTTGGTGCACAGAGTGGAGGTTTAAGAGCGGCACTTTTAGCGAAAATGGCAGGCTATGGTGGAGCTGCAGACGGAACAGCATATAACCCTCAAAGTCAAATGAATTTGAGTTCACTCAAATAACAGATGTCAAAAAGTCAAACATAGACATACAGAAGCAAATAAGTGAAAACGAAAAGAAACTAGAATATGACAGACACACAAAGAAACTCAATGAGTTAAACGTAGAGAAAAAGAAGAAAGAAGAACAACTGAAAGAACTAAGTACAGAGGAATATGCGAAAAAAGTGTCAGAAAAAGCAGCAGAAGTAGCAAAAATGGAACAAGATGTTATAAATTTGAAAAACCATACTACTCGATATAAAGTACTGAAAGATGAAGAGATAAAACAAAAAGCCCTGAAGACATATATGGATAGCGATGAGTATAAAAAAGAAGTTGAAGCAACTGTAAAGGCAGAAAAACTTTTACAGTTGCAAAACCAAACCGTACAGTATGAAAACTTAGCACAAGAAAGTAAAAATAACGACGCAGCCATGCAAAGGCAATGAAAAGCGCAGAATATATAAAAGCTAACAATGACTGGTTAGATGCCCAAGCCAACGCTAAAGCAGCCCAACTCATAGGGTCAATAAGGACAAAAATACAAGCGGATGAAGACAGTTCAAATGAAGCTTTAACAAATGCTGACTTTAAGAACGCCTTCGAAGCTCTTCATAGTAAGGTGAAACAAGTGAACGACTTCTCATCTGGAAAGAAACTGAAGTCTGAAGGTTTCGACAAAGAGTTAAAAGAAGTAGCACAAAATATGACGAAAATAACAGATGCAGCAACGAGACAGGCAGTTCAAAGTGCCTATGACGCCGTTAGAGCAACTGTTGTGAAAAGTCAAGAAAAAGAGTTACAACAGACCAAAACAGACCTAGTAAATGCTTTCTTAAGAACGAAAAGTCAGGTAGGACATTACGCTGCAGATGGAACATATGTGCCAGCTGGTGGAATTTATATACCACCAAACCCTCCAAGAGAAGCACCTGCACCAGGACTACCTAGAACATTTACATCGTCACATGGACACAGACACAGGCATGCACCAAAACCAACACAACAACCAACAGTTCAAAAACCAGCACAGCAACCAACACAACAACCAGCACAGCAACCAACAGTTCAAAACCCTGCACAACAACAAACACAAAACAGAGCAAGGACATAAAAGAAGTAGAGAACAAGGAAACCAAGAATTCTTAAAAATGCTTAAAGAAGAGTGTGGTTTCCCAGATACTGTTGACTTTAGTGACAGATATAAAGAAGCTATTAGAAAGTTCAAGGATGGAAATACTGACCCGAACCTATTTAGCTTTATGGCTCAGCACCAAAACGGATATAATCTCAAACCTGGAAAATACAAGCTCGCTAAGGGATATGATTTAATAGCATATCATCCAAATGACATGGATGAATTTACTCCGAGATATTTGATGTCAGAGCTAAATGACAATTCAACTTTCGTCATGAAACGCGTAAAAAATAGAGACGGAACGAAAGAACAAAAGCTTATGAATGCGGATGACGTAGATAGGGAAATTGTTGAAACGGTCTCGGAATATATGAAATGCCAGCAGATGAGGTACAAGAAACTCCACAGGAAGAAGTTCAGATACAACCAGACATGGAAGAAATAGTTCAGCAACAACAGCTAGAAGAGCCTGAAGGAAACGAACAAGTCCTTCCTTTGGAAACTAACTTCACAGAACTAGATGAAGATTTGGAACAGCCGAAAAATCTTGACCCTCAACAAGAGTATGCGGAGAATATGGAATATTTCCAAGAGTCTAAAAAAAATTCGGCTGACATAGTAGAAGAATATCGAAAAATGTTTGCCGACATACAAAAGACTCCAACATCAGATGAAAATATCCAGCATAGAATGGAAGAACTGAAAAAAAATGTACACAAATACAACAACCCTTTTTACTTACGAGCATTTAACGTTCAATCTTCGGATGAACTCGGTGAAGATAAAAGGTTAAATTTCAAGAAAACATATAGAAATGAAACATTGTTTAAAGTTCATTCAGAACCTAACCAAGATGGAAACAAACCTACTTTTGTTTCTGCAGACGATGGAACTACAATGAGATGGGGTCATAAAGCTAATCCGGATAGGTGGTTCATAAACTTACAACCACAATTCCAAGAAGTTGTAGACGCAATGGAATTGAATGGTGAACGAGATATAGCTGGTATTTTAGCGCGGCTTTAATGCCATTGAAAGATATGAAATGCAGATATTTTGGACCAGTATGAAATGAACATGGCTGATGGAAATATAACACCTGACGTTCTAGAACATTTATCTCAAAGAACTACACAGAACCATAGAGATGGTATATTTGGTGAAGAGTTTAGAAAGAAAGTTAGGGAGGGAGAAGGAAGAGAACCTATTGTACATGACCTTGCAAACGAAAGTTTACAAAATGTCATAAAAACTTACTTTGCAGACAATGAACCGAGAAGGGATGAATATTTAAGAAAACTCAATGGACAGTACCAAATGAAATGTTAGTATTGAAAAACATGTTCCTTGACAAAATAAAACCAACTACAGAAATAAACGACGCAAGACTGAAAGATTGGGTAAAAGCTTTCCCATTCACAAAAGATATAGTTGGTAACATGGAAAGAAAACCAGAATGGCTACAAAAACATATATTTGGAAACGAGCTTATTCCATATGGACAGGCACTGTTTGAAGCGCTTGAACCGGAAACTCAGGAAAGAGTCATGCAAACAATACGCGAAGACTCAAATACAGACTATGACAAACTCTTTCTAGGATATAGGTTACCTGAGATGGGCGACCAGAGCCAAAAGGCAAAAAGGACATGGGAAATTTGCAACATACTAGATGAACATAATGCAAAGATGCAACAACTTCAAGCAGAGGGCAATGAAGGAAAAAGAAGAGTTAAAAACTCAGTCAGGAAGAAAGTAAAGCTTGGTCCACGTGGGTTCTATTATGACATATAAATCCAACTATTCTATATTTTTACTCATATGAAATGTACGCCGCTCAGAATATAACGCCAACAGTTTTGGATGCTATGAATGGAAATGTTTCCGAATGGTATAACGAATGCGACAATGCCATTAGAAGGTCAGAAATAGTTCCTGGAACTTACGAATATACAACTGCTGTTTCTTATGGAAATGTAGGTGAGTTTGGAGAAGGTTCTTCAACAACAGTAGATATTGCTTGCGACAGGTTTCATATTATTTCTATTGACAACTCATTCTTATACGTGGAACAAGACATTGAAATAAAACCTTCTGCCAAGTTGTCTGACAAGAAAGGTTGCAATGGAATTTTCTATGTCGGATACCAATATGCTCCAGAAGTTTTCATGGGATATAAGATATATTCTAACTCTGACTTAGTTCAAACAGTAACATGGGCAAGCTATGAATGGTTCGCTTTGAGAAACTCAGTACAACCACAAGCTAGAGAACAAACAGACCAGTATGCAACTATTGAGAAAATAAGAAGACTTGACCCTAACGTTCCAGGAGTTTTGTTAACCTTTCTGGACAAACTGCAGCAGCAGTAACCAAAGTAAAATTGAAACTTAGAGTTCCTTTGTCATCTTTCCTCATCTTCAGGTTTTTAAGATACTTGCCAAACTGGGCAGGAAAAATTTCTATCGAACTTACTCCAAGCAAAAATAACTTAGTCATTGCACCAACACAAGACCCATTCAGCATTGCTGTAGCTGGAACTGGTGGAGCCAAGTTCTGTGACTTTTGCAAAGACAAAGTTGACTTAGACTTTGGTTTCTCAAACCTCAACACTGAAGTAAACTATTATTTCAATGCTGCTGGAGATGCTTGGGACCCAGTTAAGTTCACATGCGAAAAATTTGAATGCAAGAGAATAGAAAGCAGACTTGCAGTCTATATGTTGGACCCAGATATTTCAAATGCTTTAGCTGCCAAATATATTGCAGTTCCACTTATGTTCCCTATACACAATATATCTGTCAAAGACTTTGCAGGTGAAGTTGGAAACCAAAGTGCTGACCCAGGTGCAAGAACAGATATTGCTTTAACAACTGCAATGAAACATGCAGATACTATGTTTGTACTTTCAGACGAACTATAAATGACTATTCTTGTTCTACAACCCCGGTATTAAATATCATATAAACATAGATGGCAAATACTATCCAAAGAGAAGAATATTCTACAGTTGAGGATATGAGGTCATACAACTTGACATTAGATGCTATGAACTTTAACAACAACTTCACAACAACCATTAACCCTGAAATGCAAAGTTCTATTATGCCATATGTGAAAGTATGGACTCATACAGGAGCTCAAAAAACTCAATATACAAATGGAGACCGTTCAAACTTTTGGCTTGGCATTCCATTTGCTGACTCAGAAGACTTTATGGGTGGTATTTCACTGTTGGTACAGTTCAAATACAATATACTGGTGACAGAGACGGTCCAGATGAATTGAGAGGCAAAGAAGTTTACAAAACCAATAGCACTTTTCACGAAGATGCTCTTTTGAAGATTCGTTCGATGAAACCTGCTGGGGCTCCTCAGATTGGCATAACGACAGCTTCCATCGAGCAGATTTTGGCAGCAGGTCAGTAAGTTGTTCTTGAACTGACTTCTCTCCGTCAAATATTGACAGTACGCCAGTTTTGACATAGTATTGTATTATAAAACTTACTTAGAAATATCGGTCAGTTTTGAAGTTATATTTTTTGTCTGCTTCAAGAACTTTCACCATCTCGGTTATACAACTTTCTTTGCTTATGAAATATTTTGGTTCAGCAAAGACTGCTATTCTATAACATTTTCCATTGTTTGTATAAAGAACTATTCTATCATGAACTTGTATTGTTTGTGTGTGTAAACTTTGTTCTGCTTCAATTCGAAGAGATACTCAAATACGTCCATCTTTTTATTCTAAGTAAAATGTCATTTCCGAAAAATAGAAGCGTAAGTGTTTCAAAAGGTTTAATGCGCGTGGCAGATGTGAAGTTAAATTCACCAACTCAAACAAACAGTCAAAGTGTTGTTGTCAATGTCAAAGAAAGAGATGTTGAAGTGGGGAAACCATACGAAGACGAAGATGGTATAACAATAGTTCCTGTAAAAGAACAACCAACATATCCTGAAGTTAGCAGAGACTTAAGTTCTGTTGCAGATATTCGAAATGACTACAAACAACTGAAAGATAAACTTAAAACTCAGGAGAAGATTTGTCAAGCTTTAGGTATAATGTTAAACTTGGTCGAACACAACCCTGTAAAAGTGAACTCATATGTCATCGCACCTCATGAAGTTTTGAAAGAACTATTGAAACTTTTGACAGAGGCAGACGATATAAACATCAAAGAAATAGAGCCCGACATTGCTTGCTGTGGTGTTTCATATAATGTCATTGACAAGATATACGTTATGAAAGGAGGTGAAACGTTGAACTTAAAATATAGTTTCCCAGACGTCATAAAAATATTTGACGACCACAACATTTCATTAAAATTTATTTGCTAAGTAAAAATGTCAAAACTTCTTGAAAGATGTTTGAAGAAAAATAATATAGACTTTATTTCATGTAAAGGACTTTACACACTTTTGAACGATATGAAAGACCCTGTTTTGTTTGTTCGTGTAGACAAAAGGAAAGTTCTATGTCTTTACAAAATATTTGAACTTCTTAGACAGAGAACTTCAAGAAACGCCATGTGAAAGTTTAGATGAAGTTCTTCTCCACTTTCAGAAAAACTTTTAAATATATATAAATGGCAGAAGATATAATGGTTTATACTATTACGACTAAAAACCCTGAGTCATATAATTCTATAACAACAAACTTACAAAGTCCTCAAGGACGATATTGTAAACTGACCTTAAACACGATGACGACTAAAGCCTGTTTTGCTCTTTTGACACCAGAAGACTTTGTTGTTGTGAATGGTAAAAAATACTCCTTTGAAGATACTTACTCAGATATACCACCAACAGGTTTTGTTGACTTATTTATACTTTAAGGACGGATGTAACATGTGCTGCAACTAGAGCAGGTTTCATTATGTTTGGATGTCCGACTGAGTTTACTATAAACGATATGAGCTATAATACAAAACTTATATCTGGTTTTTACTACCAACAGTTTCCTATAACAGGAAAAGGTGTCATACAAGGTTTGTCTGTTCCATTGACTTTAAGTACACCTATTTTATATATTGTTTCAAACTTAGGTTCAAAGTGCTATTCGAATGTCGACAGAAACTACTATGACCAAAAGATACTCATGCGTATAAACAACACTTTCTCTGCTGGTTTGCCTATTGTTCATTCGAATGCAGAGTTTTCAGCTTTAGTAAACTCAAACACTTTAGCAAACATAAACTTAACCTTAGTTGACGCAAACTTTGTTCCTGTAAAACTTTTATGTCCTATGTATTTGTCAATGACGGTGGAATGCCGATAAGAGTACGATATCATTTGGTACCAAGTTTATTAAGTTCACTAAGAAGAATGCAAACTTCTTTGAAATGATTACATACTGTAACTCATTCTCTTTGGACCCTAACATCTATAGTGATTTGGTGACAAGATATTCGGCAAAGACTCTAAACTTCCCAATCAAAAGAATTGACTGCATTACTATGGATGGTTCAATGGCTAAAGGTGAAGGAACTCCTTGTACATTCACGGCAGCATTTACTCCATTATATGTGAACACCATTATACACTATTTAAGAAAACACCTAATTATAACACTACCTATGAAAATCCATTGTTTGAACAAATTCAATTGAACTGTGGAGCATATGGTAACATACCCGCTGAGGCTCAAGCATCTAATGATCCAATCTTCTATGAGATGCAGGCAAATGCCACTAACAATAATAACGATACTGTTGGCTTCAACTATGATGTCATGAGGTCTATCACAACCACATCAGTCCCTCAATTTGGAATCGAGTCAAATGACTTAGGTCATTACCTATGTGGATTCCCTTGCGAAACTGATTATACATTCCAACAGGTCAGTTATCTAATTCACCTATTACATATAAGCTTACAGTTAAGCCAACAGCAGAGTCTATTAAATATACTGAGAAACCAGTGTTATGCTTCTTACGTCACGTTTGCCTCTCCATACAGATTAAACAGGTGGGACCACCTATCGTACTTCTCGACGATTATGATTTATCAGCCCCTGCTAGTGAATAAAGGTTAGTTTACATATGAACGTTTATTTTTACACATATATGCGTACATATGCGCGCCCGTATGGTGTCAGTTTTCTGTCACTTTTTTCATTGTGTCGGTGACTGTAGCTGTAGGCTACAGGCGACGCACAATGTATACTGTACTTCCCTTTTCATTTTAATCGAATAAGATAGTAAAGATTTTTGAATTAGCTAGAAACTGATGAGATGTTTTCACAAATCAGATTTTTAATCTCTATAATGCATAATTCACTCAATATCTCAATTTTGATATTGCGAGATATTTTTGCTATCGGTTTCGCAATTTTGACACAATAGCAAGAGGGTTCTATAAGCATTATTATCAATGTAGAATCTGAATATCATATCAGAAAATGTCGCAAATCTGATATTTACCCGACCAAATAGCAAAAATAATTGAATACTTTTCGCAAAAACTTTAAAAATCGATAAAAATATGAAATATAGATATTAAAGAGACTTTTTATATAATATTCATAAAGATTTTCCAAAAATATGATACCGCAAAATTAAAAAAGTGACGTCTTGAGTGGAGTCAAATGTCGAAATTGCTAGCTAAATGTTTTTTTAGCGAAATTGCGTATTGTACGTTTTTTCGCAAAACGAAACCCTTAACATAAATTATATTCTCTTTTTGATTTCGAAATTATGTAAAAAAGTGACAAATAAAACATGAATTTTTTCCAAAATCCAGATCCTTATACAAGTAAGAAAGCGGACACTGGTGCATCAGATAATCCTAATAGCATGATTCCGAGAAACTTTATGAAAGAAGTTCAGTTTATGGAACAATATACAGAACCTCTCAAAAAATACATACGAAATTGCTTCAATAACTGTCAAAATGATACGGAAAAGGAATTTGTCTCCAAGTCTCTTTTATCAAAAATCAAAAAAATTTCGAATCAACAAACATTATCTTCATATGCCTGGGCAAACGAGCCAATAGTTCCGAAATCTCAAGAAGAAGAAAATTCGATAAAGAATGCTCAAAATGCTAAGCCATCTAATTCATCTTTTCCAAGTAGACAAAATTCTTGGAAACAGAAGCCAATAAACTTCCGTGAAAATGAGTCTCAGAAAAACAAAGATAATAGCCAACCATCTAATCCAAAAGAGCAACCAAATCAATCTTCTCCTCAAAATCAATCAAATTTATCTTATCCACAAGCTCAACAACAGTACAATTATAATCAATGTCAGCAGTACATGTACCAAGGTGGCCAATTTAACTACAATCAATCTCCAAATCAGTATAATTATCAATATCAAAACCAATATCAACAATACCAACAATATCAGCAGTATCCTGGATACGGACAACAATACAACTATCAAAACCCAAATCAAAGTCCTCAACAAAATCAAATTCAAAATCAAATCCAAAATCCAAGCCAAGAAAGCCAAGAAATGAAAAATCAGGTACCACAACAGCCAGACAATCAAGTACAGCAGCCACCATATCAATATTACAATCAATTTCCTCATCAAAATTATAATTCTTTCGGAAATGCAGGAAATCAAGGAAATAATGATAGCAATTACAACAGTAATCAACAATATCCACCTCAGCAACAACAAAATTATCAAAATTACGGAAATCAAAAAAATTATCAAAATCAACAACAAAATTACAAAGAAAGGCAACAACAAAACTATACAAACCAAGGAGATGATGATTCGCAGCAACAGAACTTCCAAAATCAGCAAAATTACAAAAATTATCAAAAAAATTTCAAAAATCAACAGAGAAACTTCCAAAACCAGCCAAGGAACTTCCAGAACACTGTAGATGACAGTGGAAACCAAAAGAGTTTCGGAGATCAGCAAAATTATCAAAGAAACAGAAATTTCCAGAAACAGTTTGACGGACCACAGGATTTCCAAGGCCAAAACCAAAATTTCCAGAAACAAAACAGAAATTTCCAGAAATCTGATCAAAATTTCCAAAATTCTCAACAAAGGAACTATCCTACAGCAGCAGAAGATGGTTTTGAACAAACTGGTTTCAATGAGCAGCAGAATTTTCATAAACAAAACAAAAAATTCCAAAAATTTGATCAAAATTTCCAAAATCAGTATCAAAATCAACAAAGAAACTATCAAACAATGCAAGAAGATGGTTTAGATCAGAATAGTTTCAATGAACAACATAACTATCAACGACAAAACAGAAATTTCCAAAATTCTGACCAAAATTACCAAAATTCTCAACAAAGGAACTATCAAATCCCAACAGAAGATGGTTATGATCAGAAGAGCTTCAATGAGCAGCAGAATTTCCATAAACAAAACAAAAAATTCCAAAATCAGTATCAAAATCAACAAAGGAACTACCAAAATATGCCAGAAGATTCTAATGATCAGGATAATTACAATGAACAACAGAATTTTCATAAACAAAACAAAAAATTCCAAAAATTTGATCAAAATTTCCAGAATCAGTATCAAAATCAGCAAAGGAACTATCAAGCAACAACAGAAGATGGTACAGATCAAGACAATTACAATGAACAACAGAATTATCAAAGGCAAAACAGAAATTACCAAAATCAGTATCAAAACCGTCAAAACAAACCGAATTTTGACGGCCAACAACAAAACCAATACCAACAAAAGAATTTTCAAGGTAAAAATTTGAATCGAAATCAAAATCAGAGTCAGAAGCAGTTTAATGGTAAAAATGACTGGAACCAGAACCAGAATCAAAACCAGAGGTACAACAAGAACCAACAGCAACAAAATAAACAAAATAAGAATTATGATCGGGAAAATTTCAGAAGAAACCAAAGTAACGACCAATATTCCGATCAGAGAGATACAGAAAATGATCGTTCCTCGCAAAATTTAACAGGAAACGATTCTGATAATGAGATATCTCCGAAACAAGAGAATATTGTTGAATCCATTCAACAAGAAGAAGCTGCATTGGATGAGCTCTTCCAGGAGAAGAAAATCATTGGAACTTGTCAAGATTTGGAAAAAGAATATTTAAGATTGACTTCAGAACCAGATCCAAGCAAGGTCCGACCACTTGAAGTGCTAAAGAAGTCATTGGAATACTGTTTGGCCAAGTACGAAGAGAAAAAAGATTATGATTACATTTCGGAACAATTAAGAAGCATTAGACAAGATTTAGTTGTTCAGCACATCGAAGACCAGTTCTGTGTTGATATTTATGAGACCCAAATCCTTCTTGCTCTTGACCATGGCGATTATGAGAATTTTAATCAGGTCCAGAACAATTTGGAAGAGCTTTACAACAAAGGATTTGGTGTTCCTGAGAATATGTCGGAGATGTACGCATACAGGATCCTTTATTCCCTTGAATTTAATGATATTACAGGATTTTATTCATTTGTTCCTCGAATGAAGCCTGAAATACTCAACACTCCGTTGATAAAATTCGCTATATCAGCATGGAGAGCAGCTGCAGCTAATAATTGGCTTCAATACATGAGAATGATCAAAAATGCACCAAAAAAGTGTTCAAAAGTGATGCAAAGAAAGATGAGAGAGATTAAATTCTACGGGTTATTCGCAATAACTAAACATTTTAGAGGATTGACACCAGAAACATGCCAAGAATTGCTTGGATTAGATTCTTTAGAGGAAACAGTAGAATATCTCAAGAAAACAGAAGTATATGATAAGATTATCACCAAATAATTTTAGTGCGCTATTATTATTTATTTGTTAGTATAAATTGTAAAATTAATATTTAATTTTTTTTTTTAAAATATTTCTGAAAAAGAACAAAGTTATGTATGTTAGAAGTAAATTTTGATATATTCTCGATTGTCAGTAATATTTTGCAAATATGCTGATTTCATAACATGGTCTTCTAATTCATTTATTGATGTTTGAATTTCAATGATGCTCCAAAAGGGGTTGTACGAAATTTGAATTTAAGTTTGCACTTACCACTTTCTGACATGATCTAAAAAATGGGAATACAGGCGTGTAAACAGAAAATTTGAGAGTGTGTCAGAAAGTGGTAAGTGCACCCTTAAAGAATTGATTTTGAAAAATCAAAATCCTAATCTGTAGAGTCAAACACTAAAGGTGAGGAATCACCATCATAAAAAACTTTCCTCTGAATTGCAAATGATTTGTAACTTGTTGGCTTTGAAGATTCATTTGTTATTGAAACTGGTTTATCACTTATCATATTTGCAGATCTCCTTGGAATTGGAATTGGTTTTTCACTATTTGCCGATCTCCTTGGAATTTGAATTGGTTTTTCACTTATCATATTTGCAGATCTCCTTGGAATTGGAATTTGAATTGGTTTTTCACTATTTGCCGATCTCCTTGGAATTTGAATTGGTTTTTCACTTATCATATTTGCAGATCTCCTTGAATGCTCTGGAATTTGCTTTCGAGGAGAAATGACCCTTGATGGAACATTTAAATCAGAAGGAATTATATCTTCATTCGCACTCTTATCTGAATCGGTATCTTGTTTATTTGTACAGCCATATTTTTTCAGAACTTCTATTGATTCAGTATTATTCTTGGAAATGGCCAAATCAAGTGGAGTTTCATTATTAATATTCTCAGGATTCTTTTTTATAGACCTTTGATTGCAGAGGAATTCACAAATGTTTGCATGATTATTTGATGCAGCAAAGTGTAGTGGTGCCCAATTAAGAGTTGTTTCACTATTAATAGAGTTGTATTTAATTGCGAATTTAACTCCGTCAAGATTTCCGTTTTGACAGAATTTGTGTAAAATCGTTTCGTTGGATTTATTGGTTATGTCTATTTTTGCACCATTTTTCTGTAGAGATTGAATCAAAACCAGATTGTTCTTATTTGCTGCTGCAAAAATGAGATTTTCTCCAAAAGAGTTTTTGATATCGCAGTAGCCTTCATCAACTGATTGTTTTAATGTATTTGAATCGCCGTCTTTTGTGGCATTATCAAGAATTTCATAAATATTCCAAAAGATATCCTCGGTTTTAGAGTATTTACTTGGAGGCTTTGTTTCTATCTGTGTCTGGATTATCTTTTTCATGCTTGCAAAAATTTCTGAATTGAAAATTTCGAAAAATGTATCTAAAATTAAATAAACATCATTGCAACTAATCTTTTCTCTTGTATTTGTATGCTTCAATGCCAACACAATATCTTCTGTTTGGAAAAATTTGACCATTTTTAGGAAAATAATATTAAATTGTTCGCCTGAGAGTTTAGCTTTCTCTAGAATTTTACAGAAGTTTTGTATAGTTCGTATTTCATAGAACTCGTCATCTTTGTACCAAGACTCGATATTATCAGCATATTGTTGAAAATCGATACTCATTCTAAATTAAAAATTTACGACAAGAATCTATGATTTTTCTAGTAGAAGCACTATCATTAATTTTAAGATCTAATTGTACAAATTTGACAGGTGAATTTGAAAGAACTCATTCGGATTGAAAAGTGAAAAGCCATGATATTTCATATAATTGTTGCGTTGAGTGATCTCGCATTTGTTTAGCGATTTCGGAACTCTTTTTACAAAAATAACCTTATTATAATCCGATCTTGAAATATTATGGCTTTTAACTTTTCAATCTTTTGGGATGCCGATACTATACCCCGCTGTAAAGTAACGAAGTCATTTGATTGTGACCTACCTGTGTCGTATGTTGCATTTGCATTGATGTTTATTTTACTTTTACCATTTGCTTTCGTATCTACATGCCTTATCAAAAATTGGGCAATCACCCATGCTAGAGAATACTCATCCGGTGCATCTTATTGCATTAATTCTATTATTTTTATTGTTATTCTTTACTTTTATTTTTATTGCTTTAATTTTCCTTTTCATGATCACCAGTTAGATTCTGTCTCCTGTTTAGTTGCAAACACAAGTGACTTATACATCATGTCTGTTTCTCTTTTTTTCTATACAGTTTCACGCGTTTTAGTTCTATTTAAAGCAAAATTTGCCAATATAGCTTATTGGATTTCAAAGACATTTTCAATATATTACGTATGTGCTGCTGTTGTCAAGTTTATATTAGTTTATATCGATATACCTTATAATATGCGCAAAAATCTCTTCAGTAATGCAGGAATTTACTATAAATATGTAATTGAACCATCAGAGTATATAATTGATTGAATTTCATTCTTTATTCTCTCACAATTCTTCCTATTTTCAGGTGTCGAGATTTTGGTGCCAAAAGGATTAATTCTACGCCTTAAGATTGCTTTATTCTTGATGGCTCTCATGGAAATAAATGCTATAATTCTCAGAGAATATCAAGCATCAATTCCAATCTCTAGATATATATTTGCTGCTAATAGAAACAAGTACTCTTGGATATTTACTGTAATATTTTTCGGTCATAGATTTCCAATAGACTATGTAATTCTATATATAATTTATACAATGACAATTCAGAGCTTTAAGACTGAAGAAGATGAAAATTCCATGAAAGTCTTGAATGATACATTTGAAAGCCTCTAGATATTATCCTCGGTGCTCCGATTTCTTTTTTCAAAATTGAAAATTTGTTTTGAGTTTTTTTTTATTATATTGTAAAACTAGGCTATCATTAGAGTGATTCTATAGATTTTTGATAAGTTCTTTCAAAATTTTATTCAATAATGAAATGATGAAATGGTATTTAGTCCTTCAATATATCTGAGATGGAAATTGTGCTAAGCATGCGTCATAAGATTATCTATATCAAAATGGCAATTCACGCCGATAAATGGAAAAGAACTTTGAACTTTGAGTGGGAAAACGTTTTTTAGAATTTTCGGTGAGGGAAAAAAAGCTTTTCTATTTAAAAATAAACACATATAATAATTTAATGTCTATAAAACTACATACAACAAAAAGTAATACAAAATTACTGAAAATCAAACGTACTAATTTCACAGCTCGAGAATGTGCATAACAATCGTTTGCTTCTCGCATCCTGCATAGGTCTGATACTAATTTTCTTTGGAATTGTAATTTTGACTTCTCCGTAACTTTTTGTTTCAGGAACCTTCTGTCTTACAGGAGGATCTCCTATAACTCCTCCGTATTTCGGAAGAATCTTTGTAGATTGAGTAGCTTTGAGAGTTTTTCGAAGACTTGTTTTAGATCTCGGGCGAATGAAGTAAGTTCGTGCACGGGAAGGGTATTGGAATGGTCCCCAAGTAATAATTTCGTGGTTATTTTCTTCGTTGATGATAAATGCCGCTCCTTTGTTATTTACGAGTCCACAGTAGTTGCTGGCGCTGAAAACTGTAAATACTCGACCGTTGAAATGATCTTCAATGCCTTCCATGACGCATTCATGGCCACGAATGATTACACTCGTATTATCTTGAGCTAAGAAATTTTCTGTTGCTTCAAGTCCAAAATAGTAGCCAAGACCACGTGTAGAGGCTGCAAATTCTAATAAATCCTTATTTGGATCAGACCATGTTAAGGTATCTGCAACTTCATTTCCGTACTCCGAAATTGGCCTTTGCACTTCTTCTATCGTCTTGAGATCTTTAATAGAAGGTCCAATACCTCCATGTACAGCTACATATTTGTTGTTAATAACTGCTGCGAGTGGCATGAAGTTAAAGGCGCAAATGAAACTTTCTGTGATTGATGAGTCGAAATATTCGTTTTGTATTTGTTCTGTAAACCCGCCTGTGGAGCATTGATACAAAAATTCGTGATTTCCGCGAATTATATATACATCTCCGGGCCAAATCAGTTTCATTAGAAAAACTATTGTAACTGTTTCGATGCTGAACTCGCCACGATCAACAAGATCACCTAAAAATAGGTATCTCCTTAAAGGCGGGAGTCCTAAACGTTGAATTACATAAAAAAGGTCTAAAATGTGTCCATGAATATCTCCGATTGTTGTTATTGGTCCATTGAGGCGGAGCAGAGTCTTTTCGCTTTTGAATATTCTTGCAACGTTAAACGAAATATCTCGTAAATCAACAGGTTGAAGGGAAGGTAAGTTTAAATGATCAATATTTGCATTGAACAGCGGAATTGTTTTAGGAGCGCTGTTCATAAAAGACTGGAACATTGTTTTATTGTTATATACGAAAACGATAAAAACAGTTTGACAGAAAAGTGACAACTTTACGTGTCAAAAATATAAAAAGTGATATTTTATTCATCATTATCTTCTTCATAATTTATTTCATATTCTTCGTCTTACCAACAAAAGATGGGAATGTGAACAATTGCGGGCAATTTTTAGCCATTTTGGCTTGGAACTAGAGCCTGCGAGGTACATGGATAGTATCAGTACCTCACAGGCTCTAGTTCTCTATATGGCGCCGAGAAATTTTGGTGAAATGTGGTCGCATTTCACCAAAATTTTTTCGGCGCCATAGGATGAATTGGAGGGTGAGAGATATTATTTCATACAATACTACTCTCACCCTCCAATTCCCAGCCAAAATGGCTAAAAATTGCCCGCAATGTGAACAATTGCGGGCAATTTTTAGCCATTTTGGCTTGGAACTAGAGCCTGCGAGGTACATGGATAGTATCAGTACCTCACAGGCTCTAGTTCTCTATATGGCGCCGAGAAATTTTGGTGAAATGTGGTCGCATTTCACCAAAATTTTTTCGGCGCCATAGGATGAATTGGAGGGTGAGAGATATTATTTCATACAATACTACTCTCACCCTCCAATTCCCAGCCAAAATGGCTAAAAATTGCCCGCAATTGTTCACATTGCGGGCAATTTTTAGCCATTTTGGCTTGGAACTAGAGCCTGCGAGGTACATGGATAGTATCAGTACCTCACAGGCTCTAGTTCTCTATATGGCGCCGAGAAATTTTGGTGAAATGTGGTCGCATTTCACCAAAATTTTTTCGGCGCCATAGGATGAATTGGAGGGTGAGAGATATTATTTCATACAATACTACTCTCACCCTCAATTTTAATTACTTAAACTCATTCTATTTTTTTGACATGTAAATGTCACTTTTACTGAGATCTGACACAATGTCAGATCTCTTTTTTTCGTATATAAGATTATAGCGATCTTCGTTATCCATTAAAAAATTTACAGTAAATATTTTTTGGTGATCAAAATTAACTCAATTGATAAAAAATGATGATTGTCTATAAGGGATCAGCTTTGTAATTAAACAAATTTTGACACCGAAGATTTTGAAAACCTTTTCAAATATTGTGGATAGTTAGAAATGAGTGGGCATATTGAAGATATTTTGTATATTAGAAAAAAAATGGTTTCAAAATTGAGCCGATACAAAAGTTGAATGGGAAATATGTTGAAGTGTTAAGAAAAAGATGATTTATAAATTTAGATTGTTTGGGGAAAAATTATAGTGGTTCGACAAAACCGCAATTATTAAACAAACCGAAATTTTTCAGAGCAAGATTTTATAGATTTCATAGAAGTCGAAAATATTATTGATAAAGTACTCGTGATGATGAAATGGAATATGAAACCTTTCAGAAGTTTTTGACTCAAAAATTTGTTAGTCGAGATTTACTCGAAATTAAATTTAAATGCTCAGTGTGCTAAATTAAATTGCAGCAATTCATTTCAAAAATCGATCGAAAAATTCTTTGGAAATTCTGGAATTTGAAGAATGTTATAATGCAGCATGACTCTCTAAATTATAATCGTTACGTAAAAATGTGGTTATTATTACATTATTGCTGGAGTTTAATAGAAACGATTGATCGAATCAGAAAAAAAATCTCAAGAGAATGAGTTTTCTGACCTCGTGTATAAATTACCTTCTCAAAGATATGATAAAAATTGTTTCCAAGGAGATATAGTTCAATAGAAATAAATCATTAATATTTAATCAATTATCGACTTCACTCCTATCTAGTCCATTATCTTAATTCTAGGGCTGTACAAGATTTAAAAAAACATTGCCGGGTTACCGTAGAGGCCTAAAAAAATCGCGCCTCGGCGGCAAGCCGCCTCGGCATTAAGAATGCGCATCTAAATTTTTATATGTCCTTCTTTCTTTTATTTTTCCCTTCCCTTTCTTTTCTTTTTCTTTTTTTTCCTCCTCTTGCTCTCATTTACCTTTTTTTTTCCTTTTCTCATCATTTTTCAAAATTTAAAATTTTTATCAAAAATCTTGCCTATAAAAGCAGACTATGGAACCTTTTAATGCCTCTTAATCAATATTATACAGCATAAAGCATATTAAATGAAAGTAATTACGTATAAATTTATTTTATTATCTTATTTATTAATTCTTTAGCATGTATTGTTTAATATTAACTTTTTTGTACATTAAATATGATATCTCCAAAGTATGAATGCCTTGTAACGAAACGAAAACTTAATTTTATGTTGAATATTTGTCACAAACATTAGATTATTAAAATATATGTTGGATATCCCTTAGTATGAGACTTCATGACTCTTGTTGTCTAACGTGAGCTTTGGATTGCAAGCTCTATGGTTAACGAACATAAATTAATTGTAAAGTTTTCAAAAACTTTCATCGTTTCTATCAGCATCTATTTTTCCTTTAAAATAATATATTTGTATGAATACAATATTTAGTAATTTTTTTATTTCACATAATTTCATTCAAAATTTCAGAAAAAATTAATTTCTATTCAATATTATTTCAGCTTCAAAACACTTCATTCTTATAGATGTTGATTCACTAAAGTGTGATTCTATTTATATGAGGTAGGGGCATGAGGCTCGGCAAGTCTTATTGCTTTTTACCTCAATTTAGGTATTAAATAATTATAATGATTCATAGTGGCCGCTGCTGACTGGCCATCAGCAGTCCCCTGGCCAAGATTAATATAATTATTTAATACTTATCCAGTTTTACATCAATAACAACAAAGCTAATCAATCATCATTCAGAAATGCGGGAAATTACTACTAATATTAAAGATTGATAGACATTAGGCTGGCCACCTTCTGTCTAATATCTTTACGAATAAAAATAATACTTTTTAAAACAAATTATTTAATAAATTTTATTAAAAAACAAAATCAAATATCAAATTGATCATCATTCAACTTGATGAAGAAGCGGCATGCTACATATTCTTCTTTGCATGATTCGTTCATTGAATTTCTTGTCTTTCGCAATTCAGATATTACACGTTCTACATCTGCTTCACTGCACGAAAGTGACATCATCCTTTTTCCAATTGGTCTTATTGCTTTTAGTTGCTTTATGCCATTCATGTACCAAAACTTGCCATCATTTTGAGCAAGATGATGACCATTTATAAGATGGGAATCATCTTGCTCTATGAAGAAATCGTAAGCATCACTCAATTCCTTGGCTCTATCGTCTTTATTGATTGTTGGATCAACTGTTGATTCGGCAATTGCTCTTTGTCTGAGGATTGTTATCATGAATGTGTATAGATCTTTTATCTCTTCATCTACAACATCCCAGACCAAGGAATTCCTCGAACCATCGGCATTTGTTTCGGCTGCATGATCGTCGTTAAGCATTTGTTCCTCTTCTGCTTGCTGGATCTCTTCATCATGCTCGGCTACCTCGTCAACACGTTCTGTTCGTTCTTCTTCAAGGATTTCGCCGAGTTTCTCAAATGTGATCTCGCGATTGATGATCCTCAGGGAAGGAATCGTTGGGACTTGCACATCTTTCAACTGCATTATAGGTGGATAGCTTGTCTTTCCTACAAAACCCTTCTTGTCTCTGATGATCTTCCTTGCTAACGGTGTAAAGCCGAAAGCAAACCGAAGCAAATCAATTCTACCATATTCTTTCATATCATTTTTGAATATTGTAGTGATTGATCGGAGAATCTCTTCACCATCTGGTGTTAATCTTCCTGCCATTTCATCCAACATCCCTTGGCACTGTTGTATCATCAGGAATGCATAAGCACCCATGGACTTGTTGGATTCCAGCCATAATTGAAGTTGCTTGAGTGTGGTAGAATTTACGAAAAAGTGACAGTAGAAAAAGTGACACTTAACCTTAAATTTCCAAACACTATTTTTTGATTATATTTTGTTATTTATATATTTATATATGTATATATTTATATATGTATATATTTATATATGTATATATTTATATATGTATATATTTATATATGTATATATTTATATATGTATATATTTATTAGTAGCTGCTTCATGCTGCATTGAGTATTGTTGAATAATTTGAAGTAGTGGTTTTTGAAATCAGCACCCCTATGAGAGCGCTGGCGACCGAAACACCACTAGTAAGATTGTGTATTAGAAACTGCTTCATGCTGTGTTGAGTAAGCTTCGATGTCTTTGTAGGATAGCTTTCTGAGAGCGAAACAAGATAGTGTTGAAAAAAAAATTTTGAAAATCTGAGAGACTGTGCAAGAGCCAACGACCAAAACGCTACCAGTAAGATACAGCAGTAGTAGCTGCTTCATGCTGCATTGAGTATTGTTGAATAATTTGAAGTAGTGGTTTTTGAAATCAGCACCCCTATGAGAGCGCTGGCGACCGAAACACCACTAGTAAGATTGTGTATTAGAAACTGCTTCATGCTGTGTTGAGTAAGCTTCGATGTCTTTGTAGGATAGCTTTCTGAGAGCGAAACAAGATAGTGTTGAAAAAAAAATTTTGAAAATCTGAGAGACTGTGCAAGAGCCAACGACCAAAACGCTACCAGTAAGATACAGCAGTAGTAGCTGCTTCATGCTGCATTGAGTATTGTTGAATAATTTGAAGTAGTGGTTTTTGAAATCAGCACCCCTATGAGAGCGCTGGCGACCGAAACACCACTAGTAAGATTGTGTATTAGAAACTGCTTCATGCTGTGTTGAGTAAGCTTCGATGTCTTTGTAGGATAGCTTTCTGAGAGCGAAACAAGATAGTGTTGAAAAAAAAATTTTGAAAATCTGAGAGACTGTGCAAGAGCCAACGACCAAAACGCTACCAGTAAGATACAGCAGTAGTAGCTGCTTCATGCTGCATTGAGTATTGTTGAATAATTTGAAGTAGTGGTTTTTGAAATCAGCACCCCTATGAGAGCGCTGGCGACCGAAACACCACTAGTAAGATTGTGTATTAGAAACTGCTTCATGCTGTGTTGAGTAAGCTTCGATGTCTTTGTAGGATAGCTTTCTGAGAGCGAAACAAGATAGTGTTGAAAAAAAAATTTTGAAAATCTGAGAGACTGTGCAAGAGCCAACGACCAAAACGCTACCAGTAAGATACAGCAGTAGTAGCTGCTTCATGCTGCATTGAGTATTGTTGAATAATTTGAAGTAGTGGTTTTTGAAATCAGCACCCCTATGAGAGCGCTGGCGACCGAAACACCACTAGTAAGATTGTGTATTAGAAACTGCTTCATGCTGTGTTGAGTAAGCTTCGATATCTTTATCAGACCACCTTTAAATTAACCACTCACATTCTCACTGTGGTCCATCTAAAATTTGTAAGCTTTATGACATAAAATTATATTATATGCAGGATCCCACCTATTACTTAATCTTTTTGGAATAAATGTTTTATAATATTTATCGATTGATTGTAATTTTTTGTATAAAAAAGTTTTTTATTTATATTAAAAATATATTTTGTTAATGATATTATCTTATAATTTGTAAATAAATCTAGTAATAAAATAACTTTAATAGTTGGTGTCACTTTTTCGAAAATTCTGGTTTTTTCATCCCTTGGCACTGTTGTATCATCAGGAATGCATAAGCACCCATGGACTTGTTGGATTCCAGCCATAATTGAAGTTGCTTTAATGGCTTGAATATCATTAAAGCATCTTTAAAGAGTGGAGGAATTCCATCACGTGTCCATTGTAACTGTTCACGTGTAGCTCTGGAAAGGGATAGTGGAAGATCTCCACTTCTTAAAGCAGTATTAATTGTTTCCAGATTATCAAAGATGAAAAACAGAGTATCATATATGTAGTTAGTATGGTTATCTTGGGTACTGTGGCACTGCGTTCCACCTTACCCAATATAACCTTAAATATTTACAAAACCGTTAACGTATATTTTACAACACAAACACAAACACCAACTTAACCTTAAATATTTACAAAGCCGCCAACCACTTCACTAACGAACTCACTAATGTAAAAATAAACGTTCTCACTATCGTTCTCACTAACGACTTCACTAATGTTCTCATAAATTTTCCTCAATATCTTCATCATCAGTGTTAACCCTATTGTAGTCATACTTGAAGCCATAAACTTTCTCTAACTTCTTAACGTACAATTTACATAACTTACCTTCGTCATCATATGGTTTAATGATATAACTATTTCTATCTTTATACACAGTCAATGAAAAGTCAACTGGTCTCGGATGTATTTGAAAGAACATGTTATGCTCAGGAAGGAAGAATAAATGTTTAAATGTATGTTTGTTATATTTTTCGATTTGTATGAGTTGCTTTTGTTCTGTCATTTACATCCAAATAAAAATTTTCAGTAAAATAATAAAATAAACTTAAAATTAATGATATCACCACCCTCACACGTATGAAAACATAGCACAAAAATAAATTTAGGTGAAGTGGTGAAATCTCACCTCTTTTTTCACCTCTTTTTTCACCTCATGAATTCATTGCTTTATAACTCTCTTCCTTTCTCCAACTCTTCTAACTTCTTCCTAAGTTCAGCAATGTTGTCCTCATGAAGTTTAATCTTCCTTAATATACCTTCTCTATCTAATGGTTGCTTTATCTTTCTAAACTGAACTCTACCATCCTTCATAGTATGAACGTAAAACCTTCTGGAACCGCTCCTGATTTAATGTATTCTACCAAAAATTTTTGTTTCATTGCTTCAGTGACTTTAGTCGTCATTTTACTCTAAATAAAATGTTCAAATAAAATAAAACTAACATTATTTTTTCAGTAAGGAAACGCAGGAGTTTTACGATTTATTTGAGGAGTAGGTTCTGGTTTAAATGTTGGAGTCGGTTTTGGAGTTGACTTTTGAACAGAGTTTGTACTTTCATAGGTTCAGGAGTCATTGAAGGTGTTGTTTGTGAAGGCGTTGGTTTTGACGTTGGTTTTGGCGATGGTGTCGGAGTTTGTTCAAATTCAGCTACTTCAGTATTATTTATAACATTTGCTTTATTTCTTTTCAACATCATTACTGCTCCTGCTGTAGCTAGCAAACCTAGTGGAGACCATATTTTATATAAGGACTTGACCAAATGCTATTTTTGACAGGAGCTGGTGGAACACCTAACCTTGGTGAGACTGCTCTTTGCCATTGTGCAGCTCGTAAGAAATATTCAATAGGTGCTCCATAATCGTTTGGTAAAGTTTGTTTCATAGATGGTGAAGGTTCACGAGAGCTTGATGAAGAACTCATTTATAAGCTTTAAAAATAAACGTTCATCCTTTATTCCTCACTGTCGTCCGTGGCTAAGTTATAGTCGTCAAGTCTTATTATTGGTATGCCTGACTGTCTTACTTGTATTGCAAAGCAACAATCCCTCATAAATCCAATAAGTGGCTTTGGTACGTTTTCAGTTGCTAGTTCAATAGGTCCTTTAACAGACAATTTGTATGTTATTGGAGCAGTAGATGTTTGACCTTGCTGGAAGCAAAAGTCCACTTCTGTTGGAAAACCACATAAGAAATGTGTGTTGTCATAGCTATCCCATTTATGTTCCACACTACCATCATCCACCAATGACCTCATAACATCTTCATTAAATCCTATCATATCATTGTTTGTATTACAGGCGTTCGCAACCATTTCATAAAATACAGGTCCATATGATTTTTCAGGTTCTGCAGGCATATTTCCATAAGCTCCCATGGAAAGCTGAAGATATTTAAACTTAGGGTTCTCAAAATTAACATAATAGTTGTCTTTCTTTCTAAATAGTGCCCAAATACTTTTAACATTAATAGGCGTATAAGCTGCTGTAAATGTTGCACTTGAACTATCTGTATTCTTTGAGAATGAACCGTCCATAGGAATCCAATCCATAACTTTAACAGGAAAACATAAAGCCTCGTTTGTATAATGTTCTACAAGTTCTGTATAAATGTTAGGGTCTAAAGAGAATGACTTTGGATGAATGAAACATTCATTAAAATCCATCTTTGTTCGAAATAGTTGCTGGATTACAGTTGTAAGTAACTGTTCCACTAGCTTCTACTGCCTTCGTTATCATAGTGAATGGTTCATTCCATGGAACAAATTTATTTGTCGGTGGATTTGAATCTGAAGCAAATGCAACTTTAAGAGTTGGATTGAAAGCAATGATATCATTTACAGATATAGATGTGCATTGTAAGGCGTCGCTACTGAACTTTACTTTAAGCTGAATGTTTCCTGCAAAAGCTGGAATAAATCGAATAGCTTCTAATGGAAGGAATCTTCTAACAGGAATTCTTAAACGAAGCTTAAAATCAAATGATTTTCCTGCTGTAATTGGACCACTAACAATTTGTCCTGTTCTGCATGTTCCCGAATGACTCCATACATCTTCATGTCGAGTCTTTGAGAAAACATCTACTTTCTTTATTTGTTCGGTAGTTTGTGAGTTTGAAGTTATATATGCTCTTCTCTTGCGTTTGTCTTGAGAATATACGATACGACCATTTGCAAGGATTTGATATCCAGCAACTGCATAGAAAGCGTCATCGAAACCAATCCAAAATCCTGGTGGGTTTGTTTTTATTGGAAACCTGAACCAATTTCTTTATCTACAATAAATTGACCTTCCATTTTATACGTAATGAATGTATTGTAAAGGTCCAACATATTTTCACCAGGAGGTGAGAGATTGAATGTTACCCATGTGTTATCTTTAGCAGTTCCAGGTTGTGATGGAATCTTTGCGTCAGAATATTTTCTATTAGTGTCACCAATTTGAACTGCATTGTCTATGATATCGAAATATGAGCGAATCTGATGAATATGCTCTGCTGGAGTAAATTCGTTTAACTGTTCGTTCTGCATGTATTTACTTCAGATAAAATATCTATTTACTTCATTATTCTCACACTCTTCTTCTTGGCATTCGTGGTGGAAGTTGTTTCTTGACATTTTCAATGAACTGTACATTCTCTTTTGTCTCAACTTCTTTCACTGGCGGGTCAGGGGTCTTTGACTCGGGTTGTTTTTCAATGAAATTCACGAACTTTGCAATAAGCTCTTGGTTCGTTATTGAAAGTACATCTGGCTTCTTTTCTTCTGGTTCTATTGACTTTTCAGTTTGAACAGAAGGTTTTATATGGGCTTCGTGGACTTCACCTTGCCATGCACCTTAATGTTGTCGCTCTCTGATTCGCTAATGGAACCTTTTTTTTCTTACGTATATTTTACCATCTTTACTCTGACTTACATAATAGAAAGGATGTTGTATTCCTCTTGCGTCATTTAATATAATAGACTCTCGCTCTGATTTTGACAAGCTCATTTTACATCGGTTAAAGTTTTAATTTTGTTTTTTATCTGCAGTCAAATACTCAGACAAGCCCTACGGACAAGACCCAAGGGGTCATAGATGTTGAAGCATTGAAGAAAGAAATTCGCGAGCAAATTTTTCCGAACTGAAGGAACAAAAACAAGAACAAAAGCCAGAGAGACCAAAGAGAAAACTTAGTGAAAAACAACTAGCTGCATTAGCTGCTGGAAGACAGAAGAACCCACGTTTGCTGGCGAAAAAAGCTAGAGAAGAAGCAAAAGCAAAGGAAGAACAAAAGCAAAGGAAGCTGAAAGCAAAGAAAGAGTAAATGGTTTATTTTTATCCAAACTAAATGTATAGACAAATACCTTTATCTGTTGCGTTCAGTAGTGAAAACCCTGACGTCAAATAAAGGGGAACAGAGTAACGTTTAAGTTTCCAACAGACTGGATTGTGAACATAAATGAAGAGAAGTACATTGGCATAACATCTATGTATATAACACGTGCTTTCAGAAAGGTTGACTTTATACTTCAAGTCGAGATAGAAAATGACGAACAGTCTTTAAGCGCCCAAAACATTCACATATACAATACTTTAAAGACGATACAACATTGTTGCAATGTATGATTTCATTTAATGAGATGTTCGAGAAAAAAGTTCAACATTGAAGTACAAACTTTACAGCCTTTACGTGAGTTTCTTGCACAACTGAAGGAAGAAGGTAGTCGCCACAACTTATAGACTTTCATTATGAATTTAATGAAAATGAAGATGGAACTCATGACTGTCAATTCATTGTATTCTCACCATTCAATGAAGTCGCTAAAAAGAAAGAAAATCCATTACGTATAAGATTTCAAATCTCCGAACCCAATGAAGACTTCAAGAATGTTTTCAATTATGATGCAATGCTTCCGAGGAAAAATGAATTTTCAAAGATTGTAACACCTGGCATTTGGGATAGAAAGCAAGCAATACTTTACTCTAATATAGCCAAAGGCGTTGAAAATGAGTTCATTGGTCATACAAGAACTTCACTTCCTAACCCTAAATACTATAAATTAACTGGCTTCAATCGTGAGTTTTTGGATAGACATGTTCTCCACTCATGACCATAAATGTCAGTGTTCTTGCTCCAGATGGGAAGGACTGTCTCTACATTGAAGCACAACTCTTAAACTCTACCATCGCAGTATTGTAAAATCTACACTAGCTTTATTTTTATCACGAATGACCTCATTGCTGACAAAATAAGCCGCTAGCGGCAAGGGCGAAGCCATGACTCATTCATGACCTCATTGCTGACAAAAATAAGCGCTAGCGCAAGGGCGAAGCCCATGACTCAGAACTTCAACTTACGAATAAAGCTTGTTTTAGTCGTTATTGAAAAGTTGAACTTTTCAGCAAAGCAAGGTTGACATGACTTACATAAGTCGAATGCAATCTCTTGACCATCATAAAGTGCTTTGTAAAGTTTCATTAAACTGAACTCAGAGTCTTTGTCATATGTTCAACAGGTATGTGAATGTTCTTATCTTCATTGTAATAGCATTGTAATAGCTTCAGGAAACATTTCATTAGCGGTTAAAGCAATAACATCTTGCTTCACGCCTTTCATTCTGCAGTGAAATGCATTCATTTAAATCGTTAGTGGTAAGTCTATGTAGGTCTTCTTTCCACAGAAAATACTTTTATAAGCTAAACTTTGTTTTCCAGGTGTTATTTCTGCAAAGTCGCTATGAAATTGACCAAGGTTCTTTCCTATAAGTTCTCTACCGTATCTCTTCTTAAACTCTGCTGCAAGCTTTGGGATGTCTTCATTATATAAGTGCATACTGTCGGTATCCTGGTAAAGATTTGAAGTCCCATGTCCTCTGCGTACAGAATACTTCATTCATAATACGTTTTGACATAGACAGAATATTAACACCAAGTGGAACAGAAGTTAAAGTGTCTGCAAATGCTTTTCGTTAGCTTGAAAATAGTTTTATCTGAACCATCCAAACCTTCGAACTTCACTATATGGTTGTAATTTCTTATAGCATATCTTATAGCATCTTTGTCATTTACTATGGTTATTTTTGACTCAATAGGAGATAGAATAGTTTTGCCATAAATGCTGTTCAGAATGAGTTTTATAATTTCTTGTAAGGGGTTTCCTTCTTTCTTATACTTTAACCTTAACTCAAACAACTTCTTTACTTCATCTCTTATTCTCATATCTCTGTTTCCATCGTAATAGTATCCTTGCAACACTTCACATTTGACACATTGATATTTTATGAGGTCTTGTAATGTTATATGGTCAACATACATGAGACAGCAAGTGTTTGAACTTCTTGGAACGTTAAGTTCTGGATTTAGTTCAGGGTCGCAAACTATTAAATGAAAGTGTCTGGGTATACCAATCTCTGTTATCTTAATGAGAACAAAGAAGCCAGACATAAACTTTTCACCAATGGGTTCCTTTTGGTCATCATCGAATAAATGTCTCATGAGATACTCTGTGCTTAACATTTCTTCCTTCAATACTTTTGGAATACCTTCTAAAGTATAAAGTCTTGCTATAGCTGAAGGATATAATGAAACAGTGTCGAAGTCAGCAATGAGTTTCTTTTTGCTCTTTTGTTTCATGTTATCTGACAACATACATCTTCCACCTTGAATGCATCTCGAAATAAATTCTCTTGGTTTATTTGAGAGGTCATAAAGATTTCCATTCGGGAAGTATACTCTGTTCTCAAACAATTTGTTAGCAATAGAACAAATACTAACGTAGTCATAAACGTTTAAATCAAACTCTTTCAATAAGTCATTGCGGAACTTTACAAAACCTTCTCTTAAAATTCTTACATCTTGTTTGCAGTAAAACGTGCTATATTTTTCTAAGTCGAAGTGGTTTTCATCTATTCTGCAACCTTTGATGGAATCTATGTTTTTCATAATGTATCTGCATCATGGATAAACTTACATGCTTCAGAAATGACACCAGTTCTGTTGTCATTTGCTAACAAAACACTGCTGTAGTAGTTATATGGAAATACTTCTTTCGGTCCTGTTTGTAAGTTAAACATAGCAGGAAATAGTTTAAGCTTCTTATTTATAACACTGTAAGAGTCTTTTATAATAATTGCCCGTCCTTTATATAAACCAGTTATTTGCATTGTTCGTGAACCTTTAATGATGGGAGTTCCTTTCACTTCTGTCATGTGTCTTAAGATGAAGTTTATGTCATAACTGAGGTTGTGAAATATATTAAACTCTTGTCAGGAAGTCTTTCCAAAAATTCTGTTGCACAGTTTTGACCCCAAATGCTTTCACTCACTGAACCATCTTCACTGTCATAACAGATGTTAAAAGCTTTATGAAAGCCATCTGTGCTACACTCAAAGTCAGCAAAGAAAACGTGCTCAGGAATGAATTTACATTTAGCTTTATTTACTTCTTTTGACTCTGCTTTCTTCTTCAGTTGTACACAATACTTTGGAGCATATGTCAAATCTTTAAATGGTGCAAGGTTCTGTTTATATAAGTCAGTAGTATATGTGAAAAGTTCTCCATAAGAAATAGGTTCGAAATATTTGCACTCCCACAATGTTTTCATAACATCCCATAGCGGTGTTGTTCTATCATAACGAACTACATATTTATCTTCTCTCTTTGTATAAATCTTCATCTGTTTCTCAATGTTCATTCCACCACACTTTCAAGATTTCTATATAGTTTCGAATGAAGTATGTTGTCATTGGTAATCTTTCATTTAGCATGTAGTGGTCTTCAACAAGAAGTAAGTCAATAGTTCTAACAGTTTCGCATTCTTTTGGTATATATCTCTTTATTTCATTATGTCTTGAGTCATTGAAATAACCAATGGTAACATTAAATGCTATACCTGTTGCGGAAATTTCTTGTACTTTACTTTGAGGAAAGTCTCTAACACGAATGACTTCTCTCATGTGGTCAATAGTTTCTTCATTTACTCCAGCCTGAATGCAAGCATAAACGAAACAATTGTCCTCTGTCATAAGTGTTGCAGTTCTTTTGTTCAGTTCATTGAAGATTTGGTAGCGTTCAAGATTTATAGGTAATGTGCAAAGATACTTCCAGAACTGACCGCTTCTCTTCTTATAAAACTTCTTTTCACCATTATCTTTCCAAAAGCTTTCTATAAGTGCTGGGTTTCCTGTTTGCTTAAGAGCTTCCAAAATGGCTTTCTGGTCATTTGTCAGTGTGCTTTCATCTCTATATGGTCTCTTTTTTGGTTTGCCTTTCTTTACATCTGACATCGTTAAGCCTTCATATTCTGTTAAATCATACATCTTTATTTCGGTAAGATTCTTTATGTTTGTCAAGAAGAAGTCATAGTGCATTTCAACAATACCTGCAGCATTTGCTTCTATCTCTGATATAAAGTTCTCCTTCAAGAGCTGATGTAGTAATGTTCCAATATTATTGAGGTTTAACGTAGAACATTCATACTTTCCACCAAGTTTATAACATACCATCCATCTCTGTTGCGAGTTTATTTTAATTTTCTCTAAGAGTCTCATGAAAACCTTACCGAAATGTTTGTGTAAGTAGTCTCTGTTTGGTTCATCTAAAGCTTCGATGTTAAAGTCAATGAGTCTATTGCCTGACTTCACATTTCTCTTCCTATTCTCTTCATCTTTCTTTAACCATCTCTCACCTTCTTTTGGTTTGTCGTCAATGGAACGAATGACATCGTTAGCTTTGCGAACTTGTTCTATAGCACTTTTAAACATCTCTCTTCTCTGTTGTTTCAGTGTGTCATCTCTCTTTCGTGTTTCACCAACGTTTGCATTTGTTATGTCAAACATCTCTCTTCTTACTTCATGAGGTACAGCTCTTCTTGTTTCACCAACGTTTGCATTTGTTATGTCAAACATCTCTCTTCTTACTTCATGAGGTACTGAACGTCTATGATATAAGTCAATAGCAATGTCATTTAAAGGAAATGCTCTTGCATGGACTTCGTCCTCGCCGCGTTGCGGCTTTATGAACTCATGAATTCTATCATAACTTATTGCACCATTATAGTCTTTAATGAAGTCAGCGAGTGCTTTTTTGTTTGTTGCGTAATGCTTTGCAACATCTATATTAGCTTCTGTAAGAAGTTGTTTTATTTCCGAGTGTTCTAACTTAGACAACTTCCGATACATCTTTAGTAGGAAATAAAAAAATATTTTTTGAAAAAATTAGATTAGATTTTTTTTAAGTTATTTTTCAAAATAATTTAATATTTTTATTTTAATGAAACACATGCAAGATTGCAAGTTCTTTTCATACAATGCTCTCGCTACTGCCATCAAGAATGAGTTCAATAATGCTTCAAACGTTAATGTTATCTTTAACAAGAAGTTTGTGAAAGAATCTAAGTTTGGTCAGTATGTCAGACCATTAGCTATCGTCATTGACCGCAAACGTTATACTTCACAAGAGTTAGCAGTAGTTTTGAAACAAAAGGGTTTCTTCGTGAATGTCAAAGATACACACTATACTGTCATAAAGAACTCCAACATTGACTTCTTCAGTATTGCTATGAATCTTTCCGAACAGAAAGAATATAAGAAGGGTGAAACATCTGTGAAATATTATCCTTCATCTCTGAAGACAATAACGAACAAAGATGTTATACAAAAGTTCTTACCAAAGGTTGAAGAAGCTTCAATTGACATTGACGAAGGAAGTGAAATGGTTGAAGAAATTGACCCTGAAGCTATTTAACCAAAAATATTTTTTGGTGAAGAGGTGAGATATCACCTGTTTTTTCACCTCATTCTCTCTTCGTTAATGTTGTCGTGACTTCTTCGTTAATGTTGTCGTGACTTCATTCTTCCTCTTTGAAGTTATCGAAATATTCTGTTATTTTTTCCTTCAGTAATGTTAAGTCTTCTTTGAAGGTAAGTATTGTGCAACCTTTGATGTCATAGTGTGTTTGAGGAAGAGTATTTTTGACAATTTCTTTTATTTGCTCATTCGGTGTCATTGAAATCGGTAAGTTTTCACGATAGAACCAGTTTCTGTCAGATTTATATATTTTAGCAAGGTCGTAAAAGCTTTTGTTGTTTCTTCTGACTAAATGCAACATAACCATATCTCTATCTTCTTCTTTCTCCAACTCTTCAGTATAAATCATATACTTATAACTCTTTTCCTTTCCTTTTGGTACTGAACGTGGTATTCTTTTCTGTATGCTTTTGTCTTTGGATTCAATGACTTCATCTTTTGCTTGAAGTTTCTTTTCCATCTCTCCACGTTCTGCTTTATATAGTTCATCTAACATCATGAAAATATAACAAGCATAACGAGGTGAAGCCCACATTGCTACAGCATTTACTAAAAGTCTATGAACATAATAACCTTTCAAACCAGGTGCCAAATTCTTGCGATTTTCGTACGGAATCTCTTCCCTCGGTTTTCCGAGGGAAGCAATCATATGAGGAAATTCTTCTAAAAGTTCTTTTGCCTGTTGGTTTTCAAACCAATGATATGCTTGCTTTGTAGAACGAAGAGCGTTCATTATACTTTGCATTTGATACATATCATCTTTGACTGAACGAATGAGTCTCAATTGTTTGTTATATTGTATGTATTCGTATTCTTCATTTATGGCTTCATGAACGATAGCAGTTGTTGTGTTCTCTAATGTTGACATTACTGTTCTTACATACAGGATAAAAAAATAAATAAAATAAAAACTAACTTTATTTTTTCTGAGATAAACACTATTTCTTCACAACATTAAATTTTATCCTGTATGAAATGACTTTAAAAAGATTATTGACTGACTTCGAATACTATCTCATTGACGCACTGACAGACCCTCAAAACTGTGTTGAAAGTTCTTTAAGCTTTAAGATTGAAGGTACGACGCATTTTGTCTTCACTTACGTATTGAAAGAATATGACCGTTATCATAACGAAGTGAATCAAACACTAATAAAATTTGTAGATAAAAAATTGGTTAACAATGAATATTTTAAACGTGAAGACCCAAACACTGCTGGAGATGATGAAGAATACAGACAAGTTATTGAAAAAAATAACGCAAGATTAGATGCAATAGAAAAGAAGTTTAATGAATGTCTTACAAACACGTATGAATATCTTATGCAGTGGGAAGCCAGATGGAAATAAATTTACGTCAAATATGCAATTTATAAAATCTTATGTCGACAGGCTACGTAGCACAGTGGTCTAAGGTGGTGTTATGGAGGGGTCAGGGTCTGTGGTTCGAACCGCGACAGCGCCGTATTTTCTTATTTTCTTTTGTTTGTCTTGTTTGTCGTGAATAAAAAGTGTCATAAAAGTGCTCTATCTTCCACGGGAATAAATAAAAAATTTACTTTATTTCTTCTTTATTTCTTTGTTCCCGTGGAAGAAGGGTTTTGCTGTTTTTTCTCAGCCGAAATCAATGATTTTTTCATTTTTGGAATCCTTAGCGAATGAGGAATCTTTTCTCTCGTGGAAGCTTTGACCTAAAATATAATTTAGGTGAAGAGGTGAGATGTCACCTGTTTTCTCACCTCTTTTCTCACCCTCGTGACTTTGTCATAACTTCTTCGTAAATGCTTTGTCATAACTTCTTCGTAAATGAGTGTAAATGACCAAAAATATATTATAGGTGAAGAGGTGAGATGTCACCTCTTTTTTCACCTAATTTCTCACCCTCAGCCGCTAAGCGGCGAGACCCAAAGGGTCTTGAATTTTCATGAATTTCCTTAAGATAGAAAAATAACGTTAGTTTTATTTTTATTTATTTTTTTATTTTGTATGTAAAGATATGATTTCAACAATCGGCACAACAACAATTCAAGCCGCGAACGGCGGGACTCTGTCCACAACAACTTCACCAAACTCGTTAGTCATGAATCCAACATCTATGTTAGTAGAGATGAAAAGCTTCATTCCTTCTTCATATACTTTCGAAACAAAAATCCAGAAGATAAAGCAAGAACTTTTAACAAGTAATTTAGACTGTAGTGCGAAAGATGAAACAAATGAACAGTATCTTTATGAAATGCAGGACATTATTGACCATTTACCTAAACTACCTGAAATTCAGCATCAAAAACTAACTATTCCTGAATTCGATGAAATAGAAGTGAAACCAACTGACTCAGTAGAAATAAAGAAGTTCATTCGAAAGGTAAACTATGAGTTTCTAGGATTTCATTGCAACCATAAGGTTATGGACAAAGATTGCGACATGGTATATAAGAATGTTTCTGACATATATAAATCCGGGGAGTTTAAGACCTACGATAACTTTGTTTCGTTAGTTGCTGAATGTGTATGGCAGATAAGAGATAAAGATAGAAGAGGTAAAATATGGAACGAACAGATAAGACCAACTGCTTTTGAGTTAAAGAAAACCATTGACGCCTTAGTTGTTTTAGCAGGTAAGGTTTCAGAATATAACGCAAAAATGAATCCGCAATGTTCTAAATGTAAAGCAGCAATTAGGAAATATAACTACTCCGTCAAAGAGATAGAAAGAATGCGAAACGACTATGCAGACTTAAAGAAAGAAGCAGAAAAGCCAGCAGAAAATAAAATGGACATGTTAGCATTTCTGAACAAAAACTATCCAACTGCTGACGATTTCCTTCTATCTGACGTCAAGAAGAAATATAAAGAAACTTTCGGCATTGTTAAAACTTTTGACATACTGACAGAAGAAATAGAAGCTACGAAATTGTTTAGGATTTCAAATATACATCGTACAATTCATGTAAAACGCTTGTGAAAAACTGGGGTGAGAAAACAGGTGAAAAAAGAGGTGACATCTCACCTCTTCACCTATAATATATTTTTTGGTGAATTCAATAAAAATAAATGGTTCATTTACTCACAATATTTTTGTACAAAACGACCCCAAACTTTTAACTTCTTTTCTGCAGCTTCAAATGCTATCTTAGCGAGTTCATATTCTCTAAATTCTCTCTTTAAATCTTCTTGTTCCCATTGGTCTAGTTCGTATGAAGAATCTCTATAACCATAACATATCTCACGTTCATGTTCTAATTGTTTTTCGCGCATTTTTCTAACTTCTTGTTCGAACAAAGGTTTAGCATTCTCTACTGTATCTTCAAGTTCTTCTTCATCTAATTTCTCATGAACTTTCTTGTCTATGGAGTCCATAATATCTTTGACATAAAATGCATACTTTACAGAGCACCATTCAGCAACAAAATGAACGAGGTCAGGATGTATGTAAATACCTTTGAATTCATTCATGACACCCTTTGTAAGCTCATAAAATGCTTGTTTTGAGGTCGAGCCACTTTTGGCTCCACCGTATTCGTTCATCCAAAACTCAATAATTTCCTGCATTTTAGTACTATTGAGAAATCTGTTTAAATGGTTTAACCTTCCCGCTTCTCTTGCCATCTTTGTTGCATTAATGTAACCATCCTTGTCTCTACGTAAGACTTCAATACCATTATAAGTGCCTTTTGTGAATGTTTCACCATTAGATTTGTTCGTGAATGTTTTTGCTTCGACTGTCATTTCTGTCTTTACATACAAAATAAAAAATAAATAAAAATAAAATTAGCGTTATTTTCTTTCATAAGGAAATTCACGAAAGTTCAAGAGGTGAAAAAAGAGGTGAGAAAACAGGTGAAATCTCACCTCTTCACCTAAATTATATTTTTGTCTGATTTACATCCAACGAAAAAGTTTAGAAGAATTTTCTTATTCTTTCTGGCATGTTTTTATCTTTCCAGTACTCCCGCTCTAATGGTCCCAGATGAGTTGGTTTAGATTCTCTCAAGTTCTTAGATGGTATAACATCTTCAACGCCTCCTTCATATCTTACTTTATAAGTGTCATCGTTTATGTTGTAGCCAAGTATTTCAATAACCACTCCTCGCTTTGCTTCGTCAATGGTTTCAGCAAGTTTGCCATTACTACTTTCAACTAACTTATGTCGAGGGTAAAATGCTATGGAGTCGTCAGCAGCTTTTATAAGATATCCATTACCTTGCGTAGAGTCTACGATATAATAATTTCGACTTAACCTTAAACGTTTCTTTGTCAATGGTTTGTCGTCAAGAACTACACGAACTTTTGTACCAGGAATGAGGGTAAATTGTGTTGAATTTCTGATATTTTGTGTTTGGCTTCGTTTCTTTTGTATATACTTTTCTTCTTGTTGTTGTGTCATTGAATTTGGTGTATGTCCTGTTGTAGAATGTGTTGAGGAATTATATACTTCGAGAAAATGTTTCATTGTTTCTTCGGTAAAGTCTCGCTCTTGATTTAAATCTCTGAGAGTCCTTATGAAGCGGTTAATGATACCGAGTATGTTATGGTTATGGTCTTCAGTAGTGTAGTGAGTTATGTTATGCTTAATGAGAAATTCTGTGATTTCGTTGCTGAGGTATGCACTGTCTTGGTCTGATGTTAAAATACTTGGGCTATGTTCTGCTACAAACTTTTGTAAAACTCTTAACACTTCATGAGTTCCTTTATTTCTCATTATATACGCAAAAGCTTTGCGAGTGTTAACATTTATGAAGATGAGGAATGGTTTATGTCCTCCTTTTCTGCTTTGAATGAGAGTGTCAAATTGGTATGCGTCAGGAGTGTTGGAGTAAATTGGTAAAAAGTAGTCGTAAGGATTTATTTTTGTTTGATGTACAACATTTTTGTCAAAGAACCTTTTCACTTCAGCTCTGTTAGTAAATCCCGAACTCTTTGCAGCTTCATTGAACTTCTTAAATGACCTCCATGGATGTTGTTCGAATACTTCTTTCAAGCTCATTTATGTAAAGTTAAAGATTTTATTCTAGGCTCAAGCGCGTTCATTGAACGCGGTACCATGCGAATACAGTCACAAATGGTGGCATATAATCTGCACCCGAACCTGTTGGATTTGTTGTGAAAGTATGGGCATGATTTCCTGCGGTTCCACAGAAAATACCTGCGCTTGAATCTACTGGGTCACTTGAAATATCATATCTATGCATTCCCTGTCTATCCGAACCTGCTGCAAGATTTGTATAACCTCTTTTTGTTATTGAATGTGAATGACTACCTGTTGTGTTTGTAGTTCCTGTATGAGTGTGCGGTGGAAGGTTTGCTTCAGTAATTTTCTTCGAACCTCCTGTTTGCTTTGAAGAGTTAGCACAGTATAAGAATTTGTCTACAATCTGCTGCCATGTACCAAAACCTAAAACTGTTGCTGGATTTGTTGAGTTCATTGAAGTATAAATAGAGCCTATAGGATATAATGTTTGAAGAATCTGAGTCTTTAATGTTTGAAGCTCTGTTTTGTCTGCTTTCTTGTCATATAAATCTTGAGCAGTGAATTTAATATTATGTTCATCCTTCATGACATAAACATCTTTACATCTAATGTTTCTCATCGTCGTTATGTCGTCATCCGATGTTAAACCTTGTGGAAAGTTAGGAGGTTTACAATATAATGCATCCCCACCAGTTTCTTCAACCGTTCCTTCAATACTTTCTATAGCAACAGTTGAGAAGGAGTTATGTGTATGGTTCTTGTCTGCTTTCTTATCTAACATTGCTGGTAGTTCATGTGTTTCAAAGTTTCTGACATGACCTTCGATATTCATACATTTGTTATTTAAGGAGTTTAGTGTATCTTTTACGCTTGTACTTGGATTCTCTAAAGGTGCACTTGAACCAAGGGTATAGTTCAATATTATGTCGTCTGCTCTAACAGTAGTGAAGGATTTATGTGTATGGTTCTTGTCAGCTTTACTGTCTAATGTAGCTTGAAGTTCATTTATATCGGAGATGTTGTGTTTATGAGATTTCAAAACTTTGTTCATTGCTTCGAGTTCAACTTTGTCAGCTTTACTTTTAATAGCATCTTCAAACGTTATTTTTGCCTTAACTCTCAAAGTAAATCTTGGTTCAACTAATACACCATTAACAGAGAAAGTAGAGGCATAAATTTCATCGTTATAACTAAATGCTTCTGGTGCTTTACCTGTGTCATACTGTACAGTACAGCTTATGTCATAACCTTTAGCACGAATGTATTTATATCTTCTTTCATTAACATTTTTTGTCTTCGCTTCATCACTTCGTGTTAAATATCCATGGTAGTCCGTTATAATCTGTTCGTCTGAAGTTATATAATGAACGTGGTTTTTATCTGCTTTTTCGGCTAATTTCTCATTAACATCATTCACTTCTAATTCAACTCTTCCGCCAGAACTCTTATTATCATTAATCTTTTTCATTAATTCGGTAATTACGTCATAAAGACTATATTCTGTTTTCGGTTTTGTAAATAATGAGTCAAAATTTCTTTTCATCATTACATCGCTGACATTAATGATATCACCAATTCCTTTTTCATTTATTCTCTTCATTAATTCTGCAATAATGACGAATATATAATCTGTTAATTTATTCTCTTCATCGAGGGTTATAGAATGTTTTGAAATTGAATCATTAACTCCTCTAAATAAATCAATAACTTCAGGATACACGTTTTTAATGTCTTGAATAACCCGACCAGTATCCTCGCCACTATGTGGCTCTGAGCCCGTTGGGCTCTGTTGTTCATGTTCTTCGTTCCCGTCGTTACGTGGTTTTATATCTCTAACCATCATCAACGCAGCCATAACCGGAGGGTTTGTTGCTACCTGTTCGAAAATCCGTCCGTTATGTACGGTATATCTAAATAATTTCTTTGTGTTTGTTAAAACATTTGAAACAAGTCTTTTAAAACCATCTACAAAATTTCCTGTTTCACCTAATGTTCTTGCAGCATTTACAAGCTCACCCATTCCCGCTTTTGACCCCAAAAACGTCCATATTGCATTTATTTCACTCTGTATAGTTGTCCATTCAGCGAAACTAACACCCGCATTCGCTAAGCTGAAAATGAAATTCAGTGGATCGAACTTAATTCCACCTTCTTTTTCAATTTCAACGAACTCACTAACATGAGATTTTAAATATTCTTTCGTTAAAATTGTTTTCCCCGATGTTATGTCATTAACGAAACTATCACCGTCAAAAGTTAACGAATTCAATTTCGTCGTTGATGCTTTTATTTCATACACCGCTTTATCGATAGTTTTTGGCTCACCTTCTTTAGAAGCATATGAAACATTAATGAATGAATTATATGTATTCGTGAATGAATTAAAATCAATGATTTTCATTAATGACGCCTTTAATGATTCATTAACTGTTGAATCCCTTAAAACAATTAATGAACTGTCGTTAATGAAAGGTACACTGCAAACCGTCGAGTTTGGATCAAATGCTGTAGTTGGTGCAGGAATATTAATGATATAAGTCATTAAATCATTAAGTGACGTAAATAATGTTGTCGTTTTTGATTTAATTTCTTTAGCATCTGTTATATATGGTAATTTTATTTCTGTAGTTTCTGAATTAAAGATATTCGCTAAAATGTTTTGTAAACTGTTTTGAACAGCAGTATAAACCGTTGAATCCGGAACTCTTACGATTTCACCGTCCTTAATAAAAGGCATTGCACATGGTGTAGTGCTTGGGTCAAATCTTTCGGGATTATAATTCAACATATATTCTAACGCTTCATATACAGACTTATATACTGTTGTGTCGTTATTCATGACAACTTCACCATTTACAATGAATGGCATAGTACATGGAGTTAAAATAGGGTCAAACTTTTCATAGTCCTTCCATGTTATGTATTTCTCGGTATTTCCATCACTGATAACAATATATTTGTCAGTAAGTGTGAGAGAGTATTGACCAAAATATAAACGTTTAGCTCTGTCAGCTTCATACGCATATGCAGCAATAGTCATATTTTAATGAGAATAAAATGTTGTTCTATTTGCAAAGTACAGACCCAAACGAATACGGGACAGTAAAGCTACAAACAAACTTAGGTCTACAGAATGAAGCACTTGCTTTCAGAGTTGTTGACTTCAATACTATCGCAACTTTTGTCATAACAGATGAAACAGATTTCATGGAGTTTGAAATAGATGGAAAGAAGCACGAAATAAGATTTCACAATAATGTAGAATATAAGATGGAAACATTAGCTGGAGTGTTAAATGCGCTCATAAATACTACAATAAACAAGGAGAACGAAGAAAACTTAATGAATGTTAAACTTATTGCAGGAGTTTTGAAGTTCAGTTATGCGAAGGAGTTTAAGATAACACGAATGAGTCATAGAGTACAACTTCTTTTGGGAGCATACCATATGACATTTCCTTTGAAAAGTTTTGACAAAACGATTGAGATGAAATCTGTTCCATACGTATGTTATGGCAATTGTTTATACATTGAGTCAAAAATAGCTAATGTCACAGGTATTTCAGGAGTTAATAGTAAAGGTTCAGTAGAATATAAATCCTTCTGTTATGAAGTAAATTCAATGTTCATTCCAAACGTTCCTGTCATAGCAACTCATTTAGGTAAATGGGTTCGCATTAGTCCTCATAATTTGAAAGACATGCAATTCAGACTAGTTGACTTTCAAGGAGAGCCTGTAGAACTGAAGGCACCAGTGCGAATGACTGTTGAAGTAGACTTTTTAGAAAATATTAAATGCAACAGCTTACAAGAGAACTCAGAGCTAAAAATATAAAGTATGAATGTTATGTATTAGGTCATGAACTTTGGTTGTTGCTGTTTGATGAAACAAATGAGTTAGTTATGTCAGTCAAGAGAACAGAAAAAGGCGTCAAAGGCGCCGAGCGCAAAGCGCTATATTGTGTTAGTGAAAACTGCACCAAGTCAATAAGATTAGGTTTGCATTATGAAGATGAGTTCGATACTGTTGAAGAAGTTTTGGATAGATATTACAAATTGCTTTAATTTACTAAAACATATTTCAAACAAAGCTTATATTCTGTTGAAAGTTTTGTATACTCGTTCGAATATTTATACTTAAACTCAACTCCTGTAGTTCCTGGTGTTTCAATGATGCGGATGTTACCTATTTTCATGAATGGTGGCGTTTGACCACAGCATTCGATTTCAGGGTCGAGATAGTCAATGACACATTGTTTCCTGTTATTCGTGATATAACATTTTCAAGGTCCTCCTTTGTTAGAATTATTTGGTTCTTGCTTATAAGATTTGTCAAAAGCTTCTTATCGTCTTTGAGTAAAATTGTTTGGTATAACTGAAGAAGGTAATGGTCTACGTTATCTGAAGGATTTGTTTGAACATTTGTGTAAGGGTTGTCGTTGGCTTCTCTTGAAAGAATTTGGTCCAGTGGTGGATACTCTAACTTAACATCTGATGTAGCGTTAGCGTTTGAAGCTGAGTTTAAATTCACGGATTTCAGTTCTGGTTCTTTTTCTTTCAAACACTGAACTATAGTTCTTTATGACAATATTGTTTGTCGTTCGTGAGTCAACATTTGATGTTGGTTCAATTGGAACATTAACGGCACCAGCTAAGATGGATTTGCTTCTCATTTCATATAGAATAAAAACCTTTTATATGTATGAAATGAACAATATACTCGACAAGGGTTTGAATGTAAAGCTAACGAATGAAAATATTGTTGAATTCACTGAGACAGGTGCTGTGTATAAAGATGTAGAACTACTGAACAAAAGAGCTAAGGGAAGAAGCAGGAACATGAACAAAGGGTGGAAGCCTATAAAAATTTATGTCAATGATGGCTCAGGAGGTTCAAACATAAAGTATGCAGAAAGTTATAGAGTTTATGCTCTCAAAGGTGAAAAGCCTTCATTTAAGAACAGCTATTCTAACGCATATCCTCAAAAGCTAACGGATGGGAAGTGGATGATATGAATGACAGCAAAAATATTAACAGAAATGGCGACAGAGATGCATGGAATTTGTTTACCATCAGTCAATTGAAGGTTAAACTTTAAAACAATGTTGGTCGTTCCCATGGAATATTTTTGACTTTAATGGTATTAGTCATGATATGAATCTCAAGGTATGAACGAGGAGAGATGAGAGACTTATATGCTTCCCAAATTTCTTCAAAAGGTAATGTTATACCTGACTGTTTCCAAATGAGTTCAATATCATAACGTGAGAAACCTTGAAAGATAACGAAGTCAGTTATGAGACGTTTTATGTTTAAAGCTAAAAACCTCCATGTTTGCATAAGTATTGCTACAGTTAAGTGGTAATGTCTGACTTTAGTTATGATGTTAGCTAATGGTGAGTCAGGCTTTGACACTAAACCTTTTCCGGCGAAGTCGTCACAAACTAATAAAGTGTTTGAAGGATATTTTTTGAAGGGGTATTTTGAAAGTTTTGATAGAATGTAGTTTGTCAGTCGTTTCATATCGTAAACTCCTGAGTATTGACGTAAGTGGTGTTTGTCAATAATTCTTTCCATCTCTTCTGAAGTCTTTTGCATTCCTGACTGTATAAATCTCAATAGCATAATATTTCCTCTTACGTCGAATGTAACGTTGAAGAAATTCAATGAGTTCACTGTCTGGAACTTTAACGACAGAGGCTTGAACTTTTGACATAAATGTTTTCGCTGTTGAGTCCATAGAGTCTGAAGTTGCTGATATAATGATTTGGTCATAGTAAGAGTCGTTTCCTAAACGCTCTGTTATGAGTATATGACGAATGAGGTTAAATGTCTTACCTGAACCCATCTTTCCACAATAGAAATACACACCATTTGAACAGAATCATAGTCTTTGCTGAAAGGAAGAATGAGAGAAGAGTTAAGTTTGTCTGTAGTTTCATTCATGTCTTCATCTACGTCATGTATTAAATGCTTCATTTTATCTCCATTAAAAATGCAAGTCAGAAATATTCAGAACATAGCACCGAGTCTAACTGACAAGAGTATAAAGATATACTATGAACACGTTATGATGAAACCACCAAAATTCAAGAAAGTCAGTATACTTATGAATATCCAAGACACTGGGTAGAGTATGTAGGAGGTGAGAAAGCTATTGAAATAAGACAAGTTAGAAGTATTCCAGCAGGAAGGACAATATTATTGAAGAACTTTAATGTTTTGAGGTATAATGATGAAACAAAGAAGCAAGATAGTTTTCCTGTTGCTGTGTATGTGAACCTAGACACAGGAGATGACATGAAAGTTTTTAACACAAAGCTTCAAACGGTAGTGAGAGAACAACTGACTGCGGAAGGGCATCCATTACCTTCAGAAGTTACCATAGCATATAATTTTGAAACAAACTCAATAGATTTTAAAGTCATCTCTGCAAAGAAGTCAGGTTTTACATTTAATGAAGCAGATGTATATTCGAATGAAAACTTCAAAGCTATTGCATGGTTAGATAATGACGATTGCTTTAAGAAAATATTTAAATTCAGTGACTCAACGATGTCAATAGATGACCTTCGTGGAATGTTACCATCGACGTTTACAGTAGAAGGTTCAGCAGGATTGCTTACAAGATTGTCAATTGGTGGTATTTGGTCTCGTGAGAACATTGTTATAAAATCCAGTATAAGTGAATTTGCTGAAGAATCTATATTATGTCTTTCAAACTACATGTATTCGCCACCGAAGCATTATAGTATAACAAACTTTGTCAGTAAGTTTAACATAAGACTTGTCGAACCTTCTTCAATGAAAGATGTTGTGCTACCTAAAGATGGAAAGGATGGACTCATTATTGAGATGATTTTAATAGCATATTAAATGAGCTTGTTCTTGAAGGTCATTCATGATGAAATAACTGTTGTAGAAGATGTTAGCAATTGTTCAGACATTTTGAAGCGAATAGATGAGATAAGAAAGAAGTTAGATAGACCGCAAAGCGGTGAGGGCGAAGCCCGTGAGAATGTTTATGTTTCATTGACTTTCTCCAGTAACGAGAACTTTTATGAGATAATATTGAAGAGAGATGATTTTAATATGGTGTAAATGGTAGCTTGGGCAGCTTTAGGCGCAATGGGAACAAAAGCATTAGCATTTGGAGCAAAAGCACTTGGGGCTTATGACGCAGTAAATAAAATGAGTGGAGGAAGAGTTTCGAAGACATTAGATGCAAATAAAGGAAGATTGGAGGCTGGGTTGCAAAGAAGTTAAGATTAAATAAAATAGGGCTCATAAATAAAGCATCCAATTTGGTTGCGACTGAGTCAGAAAATGCTTTAGGAAAGGACGATGAGTTTGCAAAACATGCAAAAGACTTTAATGACCAGATGAAAGGTGAAACAATGCATTTAAATAGAGTCGATGGAACTCTTCCTCCACCAGTAGTTCTTCCGTATGGTCCCTATGGAATGTATGGAAACCCTTACGAAAGACCATTTGACCCATTGACTGGTGGAAGTAACTGATATCATTACGGACGAAGAAGAAAGACAGTCAAGTTGGAGACAGACGTGAAGAAAGCAACTAAAAAGAAACCAAGGAAGAGAGTTATAAAGCAATGAATTCAAGGGTGAAAAAAGAGGTGAAAAAAGAGGTGATATCTCACCACTTCACCTAAATTTATTTTTGTGCTATGTTTTCATACGTGTGAGGGTGGTGATATCATTAATTTTTAAGTTTATTTTTATAATGAAAATTTTTATTTGGATGTAAATGACAGAACAAAAGCAACTCATACAAATCGAAAAATATAACAAACATACATTTAAACATTTATTCTTCCTTCCTGAGCATAACATGTTCTTTCAAATACATCCGAGACCAGTTGACTTTTCATTGACTGTGTATAAAGATAGAAATAGTTATATCATTAAACCATATGATGACGAAGGTAAGTTATGTAAATTGTACGTTAAGAAGTTAGAGAAAGTTTATGGCTTCAAGTATGACTACAATAGGGTTAACACTGATGATGAAGATATTGAGGAAAATTTATGAGAACATTAGTGAAGTCGTTAGTGAGAACGATAGTGAGAACGTTTATTTTTACATTAGTGAGTTCGTTAGTGAAGTGGTTGGCGGCTTTGTAAATATTTAAGGTTAAGTTGGTGTTTGTGTTTGTGTTGTAAAATATACGTTAACGGTTTTGTAAATATTTAAGGTTATATTGGGTAAGGTGGAACGCAGTGCCACAGTACCCAAGATAACCATACTAACTTATGTAGAGCCAGCGAGTTTCCGGGATTGATGGAACCCTGATCTTGTATCTCGCTCTCATATCGTGATTCTTAAAGATAATGATAATCTGGTGAACTCTATTCATCAGTTCATTCAACAATGGACATTGCTTACGTGCGTGGACAATAGCATTGTTCAAGACGTGGTTAAGGCAACGAATGTACACGGTTTGTAAGCCAGGGAAAAGGGCTCCTTCTAGCCTCCAGTGGCAGAGTCCTTTAACCTGGGCTGGCAAACCATCTCCGACTACTCCAGCTACGTGGTTTTTATTAACCTTAAGAGAATCAAACCACGTATGGTAGTCCTCGTATGTCCAATTAGTCGAAATTGTTGTGTCGAAGAATTGGTGGCGATCTGTTTTGCCTGGATTGCACACACAAGAGAATAGACCATGACGGCTGCTGTGTGTTCCGCAGTCCAGGGAAATTGAGAAGATGCGGAATTCCTCGCAGAACTTTAGGCCCCGAGAGGAGTCTGTTTTGCCTAAAGTAATCAATGCCTCTCTGACACCGCGCCGTGTGAACTCAATGTCTGGGATTGTAAAGTTGATGCCCTGTTCGCGATTGACTTTATTTTTAAGCCATTTGGCGAAGCTCTCTAGGAAGCTTTTAAATGCTGGCTTCATTGTGGCATAAAGGCTTATATCTAGGCTCGCAATAAGCCTGGCAATGATCTCTTCTAACGAAGGATCATTACCAGAGCCAACTGCTTGCTGAGTATTCTCAACTTGGTGCTCAGCAGGAACGTAGTTGGGCATTGGGAGTAAAAATTTGCACTTATGATCTTTAAAATCATTTTTCCTGCTTTTTTTAATGCATCGCACGAACTGCCCTTGAACTAATGTTTCACTACATTCGGCACAGTATGTAAAGAGCCTTCCTTTGTCTGATTGATTAGGCTCATTCTCATAATAGCCGATCGTAGTGAAACATTTTTTCCACACTTTGTTTCCAATGTTTCAGGAGTTGGTGGATATTTCGTCTTCTTAAATGGAATCCACTCATCATATACATGAGGATCCCATGCAGTCATAATAAAAATAAAGCTTTTTGAATATATTCAATTTTTAAATGATATTTTCACGGGTTAAATATAAAATAAAGAATAAGATGTAAATTATTAAAATATTTAATTTTAAATTTTGAACCCGTGATAAATATTTTTTTGCATTGTTATTAATAATGAAAAATAAAGCTTATTTCAATGAAAATTGTTCTGCAAATTTATTTCACTTTTGACCTCACTTTTTCCGTAATTCAATTTTTTACTTTTAATATTTTAGATCTTCATAATATCATTTGAAAAATTAACCATATAAAAAAATCAAGTTATCAATTCACTTTTTCCGTAATTCAAAAATCAAAAATATAAATAATATATCTTTTTATCAAATATTATTATTATATTCTATGAAAAATGAGGTCCGGAAATTTTGCGGATTCCCGTAACTCAATTTTACGGAAAAAGTGCAGTAAACTATTCAAAATACGGAAAAATTGGTGTAAACTAATGATTTTACGGTAAAATCACGGAAAGTCCCGGAAGAATATATGTGCCTATATGAAATTATACAAAAATGAATCAAACGCATTTTAAAAGATTGTTCTTGTATTATAAATGCTATTCGCAGATTTATTAGTTGAAGAAAATTACCAAATTTTTGCCGATTTACAAAAAATGATTTACAAAGCATATTTTTATAAGGCTTAAAAAATCTTTAAAATGTGACCGGTGACGGAAATCCATGGTAACCAACCGCGGTTCCCGTTTGGAATGCCATAAAAATTAATGAATAATATAAGCAGATTTTTAGTTTACAAAACAAATATGAGCAATGCAATTTCAAACTTTTGCTGGCAATTTCGATATTGCTCAAGTTTGTAGTATTTGTGATACCTATAACATCGGCTTAATCAAAATTCTTTGGAAATTCTGGAATTTGAAGAATGTTATAATGCAGCATGACTCTCTAAATTATAATCGTTACGTAAAAATGTGGTTATTATTACATTATTGCTGGAGTTTAATAGAAACGATTGATCGAATCAGAAAAAAAATCTCAAGAGAATGAGTTTTCTGACCTCGTGTATAAATTACCTTCTCAAAGATATGATAAAAATTGTTTCCAAGGAGATATAGTTCAATAGAAATAAATCATTAATATTTAATCAATTATCGACTTCACTCCTATCTAGTCCATTATCTTAATTCCCTTGTAAGCAACTAGTTTCCACCCTGATCAAAGTAAATCGAAATAATTGAACACCGAGTAGATCCTTTGGGTAAATCTATTTTTTGATCAAATTTTCTAATTAAATACAGTTATTGATTCTAATTAGTCAATATTTTCTAAAAATAAAATGCATACATTTCTTAAATTTTCATATCCTTTCATATGGACATGATTATGATATATTGTATTTGAATTTCCAAAATTATTTTCTCAAAATTCTTGAAATAAAGCATTTTACTTGATTAATATCTTTCCATTACATTTTATTACACCATTAAGACCATATTCAGGCTCCAATAACGAAACGAAATCCGAGTTTGTTCTTTCTTTAGAATTTGTATTGATCCACAAATCCGTATTAACACTCTAAAATCTCTTTAAATTCAGATTCTTCATGATTCTATATTTTGACTGGCAGAAAAGATTTTTTTTTTCGAAATGACTGAAGCACTCTTGTGCGTCCTACACTCAGCGCGTGATGAGGACGGACAAGATGGATGCTTATCAGTTTACTACAAAAATGGAAGTCCATTTCTTTCATTCTGCAAATATTCACTTCAAAATAGTACAATTCAAACACTTCCTTTCACATCAATTACGAATATTGTAACGAAAATCGACGAGTCATCAAAAATAAATATCGTAACTAATGGACAACCAGTTCCAACGATTTATTTTCTAAAATCAATTCATGATGTTTACACATTTTTCCAAATTCTAGTTGCAAATGGTATCATTATGGCATCGCCAGATGATTCAGAAGTGTGGATTCCTGCTCAGGGCTCCAGACCATCAGATCCTGTTGATTGGATCCTTCAGCATTCATATTTAGTCAATCCAGCGCAATTTCATTACAATTCTAAGCCTCCTTATAATCTTTCCGTTATCGGAACAAGCTTTACTTTATCTTCTCATCGCGAAATTTTAAAATCATTGATTCAAACAGGAAAAGATTCAGACGACTACAAACTATTCAATTCAGAAATCGATAAAAACATATTTATTTCGCTTGCAACACCAAAGAAAATCGAAGAATACTTAAATGTCAGAGGCCAATGGGAATGCCGCATTGCACATCAGTTTAAAGGTCGTTCCAAGCTTAATTCTGACCTTGACAAGCTTTCCAAAGACTTAATACGTATTTCTTCCGAAACAAAAGTATTAAAATTGATTTACAACGTTTTATCAACATTAATGATATTCGCACCTGATCTAGGTTACGCACAAGGCATGACAGACATATGCATGATCCTTATTAACCTAATTTTCGGATCAGATATTGAATGTGACGATAAATCACAATCAATTGTCTTTTGGTCTATGCACATGATTATGTTTGAATACGGTCAATCCAAATGGTACATCAATACTGAGAATTCCACACTTTATTTGACAGATGACATAAATTTTGTTTTGAGTGCCATTTATCCTGCCGTTGCCACTTACGTTAGCTTCAACAACTACGAGGTATTCAAGCACATCACACCATGCATGTTTACAATGATGGCAAGGACATTAGGAGAAGATTTGTTGGAAAAAATTTTTCCTATATTGATAAAATACAAATCTGTCAACAAAATCTATACTTGTATACTCATTACCATCTTCATTTTGGAGTTTCCTAACATGATTAAGCGAAGTGTTCCCGATATCATCCAAATTTCGAACTTGGCATGCGAAAAATACGAAATCAAGGACATGGAAGAGTTTCTAAGCATTGCTTCTTCTATATTCAACAGAGTTCCTGAAGATGAACTCGATCAGGAACCAATGTACTTCAAATTCGAACTCTTCAAGCCATTAGAGTTCAAATAACTTAGATTATTTTTTTTTGTTTAGTATTTGTATAATAAATATTATTCTTTCTTTTATAAATCAATTTTTTTTATAAAAGTGAATTTACCTCTTTCTGACATTCTATCAAATTATTATTGTCTTCTGGCAGTTTTAGACGACAATGCGAAATTTCGAATAATAGAATTTTTGGCCAGGTAAAGAGCTACTTTTAAAACGACAATGATATTTTTGTCACTTTTTCCATACGACAATAAAGCATCCTCTTTTTTTGACAAATATTCTTTAATTCCCAATTTTCTCAGGTAAAAAATCAATACATTTGGTTGTGAAAAAGTTATCATGAGTCATTCTAGAGTGCCTAGTATGATTGTTATACTTTTTTGCTATACTAATAAAGAAATATTGATTTTGTAATAGCATGTTAGAAAGTGGTAAGTGCACCTTTAAAGGTAAATTCACAAAATTTTGACTTTATTTCAAATTATTGATAATTAACCTTAAACAGCAGAATTGAATATGACGTCATATGGGCGTAACAGTAACCTTAAAAAGGTAACAATCAAATATCTTAAACTAGTTGCATCGGCTATGTATCCAAAGAATTCTTATTTCTATAATTGCCAATTTTTTTAGGAAAAATAACTGATCCGACAACATTAAATATCCGATTTCACACAAAAAATGTAATCCAAATTCAGTCTATCTACATATATTATGAGCTTCTTGACATGATAGAATTAATTTAAAATTAAAATGTGTAAGATTTTACTACATTAATCAGTATCAATAGCAATATTGTTGAAGTTGAAGTTTCAAGTTTTTGGGATCTATTGGAAGGGAGAAATTTGAAAGTCTCGCAATAATATATATAAATAAAATGAGAACATACTTGTGATGCTTTGGTATTGCAATCTAAACATTTTTCATTATTTCTTATTTAAATTTATATCTGCTTAAAACAAAACAAATCAAATTGAATAAAGGGCAATGAAGTAAAAATGCAACAGGTTATGCTGTAATTTTCAAAGAAAACTAACAGCAAGCAAGTTATGTAGAAGTAATTTAAACACGACTTGTTTTTATTTTTTTGCTTACCAATTTAATGAAAAGCTTGATTGTAATAATATAATAGTCAAATCAAAAAGGTTGATATAAATCAAATATTGGGACACCATTATATGACACAGTGATCTTGGTTTATTACTCTATATATTATTATTTTCCTATCAAAATCAAGATTGTGCTAATCAGGAAAAATTCTTTTTAAAGAGGTCACATCAAATTTTTGTCACATTCGATGATGTAAATATTTTCTTTTTGCATTGTGAATTATCACCTATTTCGATCAGATCTGGTCTTAGTATTCTAACAAGCAAATTATACTTAGTAAGTATTACAGAAAGAATTTGTTCACAACAGGGAGTATAACATTTATTAATTAATACTACAATTCCATTTAATTTTGCGAAATGAATGAAAGATATAGTAATGATAATTTAATATTATCATCATCAGAAAATAGTGTAAATGTAGATCTAAAAGAGAGTTGTGAAACAATATATGGACTTTATGCAGGTGATGGTTGCAAAGATTATGCATTCAAAGGAAGTCGGAACACTCTATTATCTATCAATTTCCCTATTGGATCTCGTCTTTCAAACATCAATGACTGTGCTTTTAATCAATGTTCAAAACTATCATCTATTGATTTCAGCAACTGTGAGTTTTTAACTATAATTGGGTCATATGCATTTGGAGGATGCATATCATTATCTAATATAATTCTTCCAACTCATTTGAAATCAAATTCCACTTGTTGTTTTGAATATACATCAATTACATCTATTTCAATACCGAATGATGTGACATCGTTAGGATCAGCATGTTTTCAAGCTTGTTCAAAATTAAAAAACGTTATAATCGATGTTGAATCCAATTTGAAAGAAATTGGTGTCAATGCTTTTAATGGAGCACTGATTGAAACATTTTTTATCCCAAAATCAACAACTAAGGTTAATGAATATGCTTTTGTTCATTCTAAATCGCTGAAAGAGTTTAGAATTGATCCATCGAATCCAAGTTATAGTGTTTCAGATGGAGTTTTATTCAACAAAGATCAAACATACCTAGTAAAATTTCCTGCAAATAAAAGTAAGACATATTCTATTCCTGAAAAAGTTACATCTGTAGGTTCATGTTCATTTGCAAATTCTATTATAGAATCAATTCAATTTTCTATTAATTTTAGATCATTTGGTGATTGGGCATTTGGCGGTTCAAATCTCAAATCAGTTATAATTCCAGATTCTGTTACTTCACTCGGATCAGGTGTTTTTCAAACTTGCACACATTTGAATTCTGTTGTAATTGTAAAAGGAATCTATTCAATTCCTACACAAACTTTTCAAAATACAAACATTTCATCAATAACAATTCCATCGGGTATAACTAAAATTGATAGTTATGCATTTTATGGTTGTAATAATCTTAAAGAGGTTGTTTTACCATCTAGCTTAAAAAATCTTGGCGGTTCTTGCTTCCCAATCACCACAAATTTGACATTCTCTGAAGGACCTGATTTTACTATTGATAATCAGATGATTGTTTACAATAAAGCAAAGACAACAGTTGTGATGTGTTTGAATGAGAGTGAGAGTTATATTATTCCATCTACAGTTCAGATCATTAATAATGATGTATTCCGATCAAATAAAATATTGAGAAAAATTGGATTTGAATCCGAAAGCCAACTGACTGATATTTATGAAGGAGCATTTGCTGAATGCGAGAAACTCTCAAGTATCAATATTCCTCTTTCAGTTTCTAAATTTGGCAAGAATTCATTCTCAGGATGCAAGTTACTACAATATATCTTCTTTGGAAATAATCTAAGTTCAATATCAGATAATTGTTTCAAAAATTGCAACTCTTTAACAACAATTACTTTTAATGATATTGATGGAAATGCTATCATTGGTCAATATGCATTCATTGGCTGTAATTCACTCACATCTGTCACACTACGAAATGGAATTTCGAGTCTTGATATGTTCTGTTTCAGTGGATGTACAAGTTTGAATCGAATAAGCATTCCATCGACAGTTGTTTTCATCGGAACAAACGCTTTTCAGAACACAAACATCGAAACTATCACATTTTCATCAGATAGTCATATGCATGTTCTTAGCCAGTACGTTTTCAGTGGATGCAATACACTTCGTAATATCGAAAACATTCCGAGTGGTATTGAGTCAATCGAATCTGGTTGCTTTGAGTTCACTAGTCTTGAAACATTCACAGTCCCAGTTTCTACTATCAGTATCTCAGACTATGCATTCCGAGGCTACTCATCTCTTCGTGTCTTCACAATTCCGTCTGGCTGTCTTCTGAGTAATATCGGTAACTTCATCTTCACAGGGTGCACATCTCTAAGTGCTATCGAGTGTGTTAACAGTGAACATTTCGTTATTGACAACGGTGCACTTTTCAACAAAAATCGAAGTAATCTTATCTACTTCCCTCCTGCATCTTCGATTAAGTTCTTCTGCTTCTCACAGAATGTCAAGAGTGTTTCATCGAGTGCATTCTTCGGATGCAAGCATCTTGAAGGCATCATGATCCCAGACAACTCTATCGAAACTATTGGTTTCTCAGCATTCTCCGAATGCACATCTCTCAAGTATATAAACATCCCTCTTTGTGTGAAGACAATCGAACAAAACGCATTCGCAGGATGTATCAACCTTCAGTGTGGTGTGAATATCCAGAACCAGACTCGTTCGTTTATTGATAATATTGTTTCTTCAAGTGGTCTTAGCATCACTTCTTTGAAATCTTGTTCTATAATTACATGCAAACAGATTCACTATCAAAATTCTGTTTCAAAATCATATCTATATGTTTTTGTTCTGATGTAAAAGTTGTAATTCTATAAATTGAGATGACAATAATTGAAAATTTATCAATGAATAAATACAGTAGTTTAATTTGATTTTTTTTATTCTTTTATATTAATATTTGGCAGAAAAACAACCAATGTCAAATAACTATTATTTTAAAATAGTTCTAGGTTTTCATTTAAAGGCTAAATTAGTCAAAAATGAGCTGATTTTTTTTGTATATATGCAAATAATGAAGTACATTAATAAGGTATTTGAGTTTTAATAATGTCAACTCCAAATTTTTTTTCAAATGAGCAAAATAAGGAAAATTCAATATTTGACAAATTAATCCAAATTTATTATTATATTTGACATGTATATAAAATTAATAATTATTTCATGCCAATGAGGCAAACCATTATTGAGTTTTTTATTATATTATTATTTTTAAAAAATAAAAATTAAAATTGTGATAGTAATCGATGAGTTTAATATCAATCAATATCAGGTTGGCTTTAAATTTGGAAAAATACAACCTTTCAAATGAATAATATATTTGTTTTATTATGAGCAATAAAGATTGAAAATAATAGATATCATTATGCAAATAACCAATAGGCAGGAGATGTACATATGCAATATTCTAAATTTCCTGTCTAACTTTTTTTATTTTTGAGAAGTATTTCAATTCTTTTTTGAGATGTCATTCAATTCAAATATCTTAAGACATAAAATGAAATTATATTAATTGATGTGTTCTTATATTCCACAGCTTTCTATATTTAATTCATATTTCATCAATTGTCGTATTGAATTATTATATGTTAATATTATTCGTGATTGTTATTTTCTGAATTCAAATATTTTGGATATCACAGGAGATATTGAAAATGTTTTAACAGACAAATCAACATCTGTGATTAACTGTTCATTTACTCAAGAAATACCATATCCAGATGTTGAACCGATTCTTTGTCAATCAATTCCATTAGAGAAGAATTACACAAATCATGAACAAAACTCATCAATAAGATACAGTTTCATAGATGAAAAAATATAAATTACTCATTGTAATTTTATCAATGTTAGTGTTTATCATGACGAAGGTGCTGCAATCACTGTTCTACGACCTGCATATAAATACTTTGTTTTGAATCCTTTCATCAAGATCGATAACGTTTTCTTTTGGAAATGTCAATCAGAATTGAAGACAGGAGCTATTTGGATTGATTATTCAAGTTCTCATATTGAAATGAATCATATTTGTGGTATCGAAATTGTTAGAATGATGTATCAATTTTGTTATATAGATACGAGAACTTATATTTCATTTAACAGCAGCATAGTATATTCTGATATTAAATCTGCAAATGGTTTGTCTTATGATATTTATGATATAAATGGATATCTTAACAGATTAGAAACCTATGAAATAACATCAATAATAAATGGAATTAATACTTCCAAATACTTTACCATGGGTTGTGTTTTCAATCTTTACAATTCAACAATTAAGTTCTGTCAAGAAGATGCAATTTTACAGTTTTCTTTATTGCATATAAATTTGTTGATGTCAATTACTATAATTATATCAACTCCAGTTATGTTGAACAATCAATTTTTGGAGATTATAATGATTTTAATGTAAATGTTACATTTAGTCATTGTGTGTTTATTGATTCACCTTTAATAGAGTTTTACAAGTATTATATTGGTAATATTTCATTCGTTGATTGCAATAGTACAAAATTGATCAATCTCAAATCATATCTTTTGCCTGCATGCAGAACTCCTGATTTTACCTCTAAGAATTTCAAAATGATCATATACTATTCAGTTTCTGCAGCCTTATTTGCTTTAATTGTTGCAATTGTTGGAATAGCCTATTATTGGAGCAGAAAAAAAATACAAAATTGGAGAAAAGATTAGAACTTGACAGACAACTTGATGTAGATTATGGCTAATTTAAAACTTTTTTATTAATGTAAAACAATTTTTTAATATATTATTTTCTTTTTCCACAGGATATAATAGCAAGCATACACTGATTAAGATTGCTTTTACAGTACATTTCGGTTAATGATACTTTATATTGCTTCAAAAATAGAATATTTGAATCAATAGATATTTCAATCATAATACAAAAAAAATGGAATCACTTTGAATCTTTTGAGAATTTTGAAACAATAGTTCAGTATTTTGAAATAGTTCCTTATTTCGTTTTGGAATATCTTTAGTAATGAAAGTTAAATGAACTGCTTGTAATATAATTTTGACCTTGAATTAATTTTGATTTATATGATACTCAAGTTTTTGGAGATTTAAATGGAAAAATATACAATATAAATTAATTCAAATAAGTTCATGCTATTAGTATAAAAATAAATATAAATTGTAACCGAAAATGGTCAAAACTAACTTTTTATACTCTTGTCAGGTTGAAATGTCCGAAATCGTTATATACATATCTTATAATAATTAATAAAATACATTGGTAGAAATACAAAACATTTGTGGTATTTTATCTTTGACTACACTTTCGTCATTAATATATTAGTAATTTAGCAATAAACTTTATTTATTTCAATTAGGTACGATAGAATATACAAATTATGAATCAGATAATTTGAACCTTATCTGTTTTGACATATTATATTTGATAGATATCAATTTTTATACTCAATAATGTTGTATGAAAAATCTCATCAAATTGAGAGCAGGAAATTTTTGAGAAGAATATTTTAATTTGAAAGGCATTGAATTTGGATAATTTATATTCTCAAATCAAAAATTTGATGCCACTTGAGAGTTTCTTAATGAAAAGAATTATGGCTTATGACTATTCTCGATTAGAAGATGTGTATCCGAACTGTTCCAGACTCACCGATGGCTTTCATATTTTATTGCCAGGTGAAGAAGGATGCAGGACCAGTTCATTTTTTATTGCAGCTAACAATACAAATTTTAATATTACTGTCAAATATATTAGAAAAAGTGAAGAAATTCTTGACACTATTACTCGCAATAAACCTTTTGCAGTTTCAGTGAATGAGAGTTCTGATTCAAAAGTGTATTCAAAAATCAAATGCTTAGAAACCACTTTTGGCTGCAAATTTCATATCGCTTATGCTGAATCATCAGTATTTGCCAAGAGACATTACATTATTAGGGAAACTGGAATTGAGAGCTTTGAAGAACATAAAGTATATAAATTTTTTTCAACCAAATCATCTGGATCGCAGAGTCTTGAGGCAAATGTGAAATTAGAATACAAAAACAAACAGATAAAACTATATACTCATCTGTTTGGCTATAAAAACATCGATAAATCATTCAAGAAAATTACAAATATATCAACACATCCAAATATATCATTAAGGATATTACCAGATAGTAGAAAACTCTCAAATACTACGGGTTTTGAGGCATTTAATGTCATTGAAAATATTGGTGAATTTGATTATAGAAGAATTAATTTGTCAGAATATGATAATGGAAGTACATATTCAAGAACAATATAAGGTAACACAACACTTATTTTCGAGAAAATTGGTGAACAAAGTGAAGACGAAGAGAAAAGTCTTTTTGGAGATGATTTCGAATATATTTTGTATAGTGAAAATACAATCAAAACGAAAGAAGAAGTCGAAAAGGATACAGTAATATATAATCCAACACCAAACATTACTAGTAATAAAGCACCATCACCAACACGAGGATCGAACGATTTGGGAGATTCTTCTAAATTGAAGAATTATCAAATTGCACTAATTGCAATTGGTTTAATTGTTATAATGGCGATCATTGTTATCTCAACAATCTTCCTAATTCAGAAATGTAAAACCATATCCAAATCATCTAAATCAGGCTCTGGTGAAGGTGACGATATTTAGATAAACTATTTTTTTTTAATTTAAATTAAATTCAATACTATTCTAAAAAGAATAGCTAATCACGATATTCGATGTTTAACTTCACCTTTTATTAGGGTTTATCAAAAATATAAGTAGTAGGATAGGAAGGGGTGTGTGACTTTTTTTGTTACATCTATATATAGACGATGCATTAAAATATATTTATTTATAAATCATTAAAAAATTAACATTAATTTTAAAATAATTTATTTTTTATCTTTTATAAAAGAAGCTATATATAGATGATGTCAGATATTCCGCGATTAATTAAACATTGTTTAAATCCTGAATGGAATCAATGGAGTCATAATCAAAGACCTCATAAACGAGTAAAAGATTCACTACCATAATGAAATAAAAAATAAAAAAATAAACTTTAAAAAGAATTTGATGAGTTCAACATAGAACTTTAAGAAACTAATGATTATTTGAATTTATGAAATCAATTATTTGATTTATTCTTTCTTCAATCTCTTCTATTCTTTTTGTTAAATCATCAATTTTCATTAATGAGGTGATTCTTGATTGAGGAATAGATTTCAAACTAATCACCCCTTTTATTTTTGAAATTTTGAATCCATCAACTTTAAACATTTTATTCAATTTACATGTTGTCAATTCTTCAAATAATTTTTTATTGTTAGCATAATAGTCATTAAATTCTTCAACAGATGAAAAAATTTTTATTTCAGTAATTGGTTTAACAATGTTTATTTTTTGTTGAACATTTTCACTTTCATTTATTTCTTCCTTCTCTGTTTCATTTATTTTAAAAATCGGTTTCATTTATCATTAAATAAAAATTAGAATATAAGTGATGAAATATATTTTTTAATTAATATTAAATCAGAAATGGCGGCAGGATTCTTTAAAAATTATGGAAGGAATTAAGAAAGCTGCGGGTTGGGTTTATAAAAGATTATTAAACCCGTTGCAAACTTTTTGGCACCAGTAGCGAAACGGCAGGAACTATCATAGATGGAGTATTAGGTACTAAAGCAGGTAATCCGGCGATGGAGAGCAGCAGGTAACGCAATTGGTGGAATTGCTGAAGGAATACTTAATAAAATAGGAGTAGATAGTGGAAAAATAAATAAATATTATTTTTATCTTAGTATCGGT